TCTGCTCTTTTTTCCGCTGCTCATTGCTTTCATTTTCGTAAAATTACACTACTGTAATAATTTAAATAGGTAAGTGACAGGTATGTGACATATACAGAGGTTTTATAATTCGAACCTACTGTATAAAGTTATCACGAGTTCCCTACAAAATCTCTTTATATTTTGAACTAAATCAATAAATTTTTATGCACTTGGTAATTCGAACGAAAAAATCATTGCTATACAACAAAATGACGCGTTAATTCGAACACATCGGCGTCTAACACTCGACAACTCAAAGTTGCAGAGAGAAAGAGGCTGAAAGATTGTATTGTTACGATAAATATGACTCATATTTAATCTGTATCAGAATAACGGCTATTTTATTATATAGAGAACGTTTAAAAAAAAGAAGTCAGTCTGAATAGTCGTATCGAGTTTGAATTATAACGCGGAAATGTAGTATATAAATTCGTGTATATAATAAAAATATAATAAAAACCGTGTAAATAGTGTAAATAAATTATTGTAAGACTTTATATAAATTAATAAAGACTTTAATAAACTCAATGTTAGAATATTTTATAATAAATAAAGTTGATAAATTAGATTAATAAAAACAGTTCATTGGTGTCAAAAGTAAAATATAAAATAAATTGTGAAAATTACTACGATTTATAAGCTCACAGTGACGAATTTAAGAAGACATATTGAGGACAGAGAATTAGCTTCTACCGGAAAAAAGGCTGATTTAGTCCAACGACCAAAGAACGCTTTGAAGGAAGAGGGTTTGGATCCGGAAACTTATATATTTGAAGACAAATATACTGCTGTCATCTCGTCGATTTCCAAAGTTTCTAGTGATGTGGCCAAAGTTTCTGATGACATCGCATCATTAGAGAACAAAGTTCCTGGCGATATTTCGAAAGTTTCCGGCGACATCGCTTCTTTAGAAAACAAAGTTTCTAACGAGATTTCTTCTCTGGAAAGCAAAGTTTCTGCTAACATCTAAGTCACTTCTGAGATGTCTGCCCTCAACGATAGAATGTATTCGTTAAAAAACCAAGTTGCCGCCGATATGTTGGTCTTCGAAGAAAAGATATGGAAAGAGATGGAAAGGAAGATGGAGGAAACATGAACAGCAGAGAGAGGAAACAATCCAATTACAGTAGAGACAAAAGAAGACGAGACGAAATGTAAGTTGGAAACACGGCCGAAATTTGAAGGAAGTGGAGGTTCTGTTCATAAAGTCCCAACTTTCAACAGAAAATCGTCATGGAACAACTACATGAAACAGTTCGAAACAGCTGCAAGAGCGAATGGATGGTCTGAAATAGAAAAGGCTGTAAACCTGAAATTCGCTCTTCGAGGGGATGCCTTAGATGTGCTTCAGAACATAGCCGTAGAGGAGACCGATGATTTCGAACAACTTAAGAAGAGGTTAAATATGCGATATGGCCACTAACATTTGGAGCATGTATATCAGTCGCAGATTAAAAATCGAAGGCAAAAGAGAGATGAGGCTCTTCAAGAATATGAGGTAGATATTGCCAGATTAGTATGATATGCTTATCCAACAGCTCCCGAAGACATGATGGAAAAGTTGGCCGTTCAAACATTTATTGATGGTCTTCGTGATCATGATATGCAGAGAACACTGCGATTAGCTCGTCACAAGACGCTGGTTGATGTCTTATCCGTCGTCCTGGAATACATGTCTGCTACGCAGGCCTCTGGCGGGTACAGTAAAGTTAGGACTGTAAAAGAAGGAGATAAAGATAAACTTGACCAGCTCGTTAATATGATGAAAAGTATTACATATAAGAAAACGAAGACCATAATATGCTGGAATTAAGAATGATTAAGAATAAGTGACGCGTGTGGTGGCCAAAACCGCAACGTAAATGTATCTTCTATGTTGCTTTACGCTGTTCAGACATTAGAGATTCCAAAAATTTATCATTGCTTTTTTGAACCTAGCCATCCGATGATGGAGTGTGACTCAGTCCATGGTCATATTGAGAAAGCATAAAAAATGTGGACATATTTAACCCCACTGAGTGGTACTCCATTATAAGAATGGTGTCAAAGAAATCAAAATACACTGTACCCGAGATTAAACATGAAGAAATTTATGACTTCAAAGCTTTTGCCACAATTTTAATAAAACAAAATAAATGGACATCGATGATAGTAATAGAAATTGGCTAAAATTAACATGGCTGCTGTACAGAAAAGACGATAATAAACATAATATATTTTTTAAATAAATCAAGGAAAATGAAAATTTCGGGTCTTTTGAGGTTATCCGAAAAAAAAACTATATACGAAATTTTACATGCTAAACTTAATAACGGCATATGAAGGACAAGGGCCAATAAAAGAAAGATATAAGGATTTAGACGAGCTGTGCAATAAAGTCATTATTCCTTCCCAGCATCATCTCTTCTATAAGTTGTAGGTCACCAACAATAAGGACAATCAATCAGATGTGCAAAGTGATTGACATAATTAACTTAATTGTTAGAAAAAGTTTATGTTTAATTTAAAAAAAAATAGTTTATGATTTTAAATAAAGTTATAAACATTTCGATGGGAATAAACACAATATATTTAATAAAAAAAGAAACTTTATTGATGTTTTGACTTCTAATTCAGAAATTGTTGTCTAAACATTTTATAAAGTAAAAATGCATTGAAATTAAATAAAAAATCGTAGATTTTAACTAAATTAAAGATAATAATTAAATGCATATACAATAAAATTGATTAAAATGATATAAAAAATTAATAGTATTAATTAAATTACTGTATATAATAGAAATGCATTGAAATTATATAAAAATTCAAAGATTTTAGTTAAATTAAAGATAACAATCAAATGCATATACTATAAAATTGTGCTAATTTACAATATTTAACTGCATTTAAAGTAACAGAAAATATTTATTTTATACTTATTCAAAACTTGTAGCTTCTCATAATACAAATTATAATTCCGTAAAACGTAAAACTTATATTTTAAACCTTCATATACATTTTACAAAAAAAGTATGGCAAGTTTTATACTTATTTAAAATTTGTAGCTTCTTATAACACAAATTATTATTTCGTTAGAGTAACTTTATATTTCTAATATTCATATACATATTTTACTAAAATAAATACGGCAACACTGTGACGCGGTGCCTTGAGGAAAATATATTTGGTTATGTAGAGTGCCCTAAACTGCGTATTGTCCCATATTTTTAAAAACCTTAAATGAGCTCTCCTAAAAAGTAGTCATTTTTGAGATACATTTTTGTGTCACTAAGCTGACGAATTGCAATTTAATCCCTTATTAAATATTTATTTCCTGTATTGGTCTTTGCCTGTTGAAAATAAATAGCTATCTATAACTGTTCACTGTAAGTGTACAAATAAATATTTTGATATTGAATTAAAAAAATATTTTATAATTTAATCTTTTCTAGTGATTGAAGTGGTATTTTTATTAATACTTACACTGTAAAAGGAGCAGTAACATAGAAAGCACTAGATCTAGTAGAAGTGTGATGTCGCACATGAACTGTTAATCCTGGAGACTGTCTTAATTTTGACAATAACCACAGCAGTAAGGAGTCCTTAGTTTCTGGTGGAAAGGTAATAACAACATCACAATTTGGCGTAGAAACCCTTTTTAACCACAATCGTTTAGGTGCCAAAAAATGGCCTGAATATGGTATTTTTCTTCTAATAAGTTGAGAAGCTGAAAAAAAAATAATTGAAATTAGAACAAAAAATTGTAAATTTAATTTGAATTCACAATTGAACATATTCTAAAAATGAAAACACATTACCTTGTTCAATTTTCTCCTGAGCAGACGTAACAAAATTTCTTCGGCGTAAACCTCCAGCGTTTAGAATCTCATTTTCCGGCTCTTGGTTAGCTAAATCCTCCTTACTTGACATTCTAAACAAACCTTATCAACAATAATATAACGAATAATAACCATTAATCAATAAAAACGATTAGATAACAACTGCTCTAAGCACAGTGGCCGACTTCTTTTGGAAGATATTGACCTTTTTCACTCAACAATCAAAGAAAATTTCCGTCTTCGTCGCTTTTCCCAAATAATCGAAAAGGAAAATGTTTACTGTCACTGTCAAAGTCAAATCTGACATATCTGTCAAAAAATATGGATATTCGGGAAATTCAAAAAAGTATTGTCAGATTTTGGAAATTTTATTTTTAGTAGTAAAAATTTGCAATACGTTTATAAACATGTACACAAAAAAAATTAAACAGAATATTACCCTAAAATTGAGCTAACTAAAATATTGTCAACTATATTATTCATTTACCCTTAGCCTATGTCCTTATCATTATAATTTGACATTATGTAATTTTGGAAGTGGCTACCCGTTAACTATCTAACTTTTCCAGTTCAATAAAAATTTTGTATTCTATATTTTTTTGTTGTTAAACTAATAATAAAAAACAAGTACATTATGCAAAATACTAACTTTGTACACTAGCAGTTCACGGTTGCTGAATCTTTATGTGGAAGGAAAATATTGAAAAAAAAATTCAATAAACTTTACCCTAAACGTCTAATCGCTGTAACTTTATTACATGTTTGATTAAATATCTAAGAACAATTAATTCTCTTCGATAGCTTTACATCTATGCCATGCAAGTATCGTGCTATGCAAGTCCAAGTTCGGAGCTTTTTAACACCCTGATTTTATATTTCAAGGTTTTATAATAATTTATATTTAATTCTCACTTAGTTTTACGGATCGTCTAATTTTTAGCATCTCCCATTAATTGTAGTGTTGACAATTTGACATGTTGACAGTGATTGTGATTGACGTTCACATCAATACAAAATGTTTTAAATTGTGTTTTTTTATCCTTGTTTTATTGCTTGAATCAAGAGTGAGATAAACATAGTAGAGAGAGGGTACTGTGATGCATGAGTAAAAAGACAGACACGGACACATGTCACGGTTCGTGACACATGACACATGAACAGATGCACATGACGCATAGAGGAAAAAACAAAAATAGAATCTATGGTTATGAAAATTTTTGTAAAACAATTTTGTTATGGCAGATAAAGCGGATTGGAGAATTAGCGAGAAGTTTAGAAAACCTAGACGAACAAAAGGTACTCCAGCCTTTCAGTTAAGAAACTATTTTGCCTTTGGAGGGTTAGCTTTTGGAGCAATTTCTTGGTATCTTTATGAGTAAGTTACCTTAGTACCTAAACGAAATTTGTACTTTCTATAATGAAAAATTATTTGTAGAAATTGGTCCGCAACAAAGAAAGTAAGAAAATCATTCCTTGAGGGTAAATTTGATATGCCGGATGGTTTAATATTAAAAATTAAACACATAGAAGCTTCAACAAGGGGTGGTGCAGTTGATGAACTGTTAGCAAAAGCTAGGGAGAGAGAGGTTCAAAAATATGCCCCGGACAAACCAGAAGACCAACCATGGCTCATCAAAATCTTTAATTCAAAGCCTGATATATAAAAATGGGTTTGTTTGTTTTATATTGGTTATAAAATGTATAGTAGTTGTAAATCTATAGAGGATACAAAGATATATTTATTTGTTTCAAATTTAGGTTTTAAATAAACATATCTAAAAATGAGTCTTAATTTCCCATGTCTTAACCCTAGAATACTATCATATATTATAAAGTTTTGTGGGTGATCTCATTTACTAAGTTACACATTTTCATTAACAAAACGATTCCCATTAAAATTCTGAATAGTCAAGTAATATAATAACTGTTCTAAATGTCAAGAAATAGCAAGTATATGCACAATAAATGTTTGCATTATTTTAAGTAGATAGATGTTATTTGGAAGTAAACTGAAGGGAAAGAGATTTAAGGTAATTCAAATATTGAACATGCCAAAAGTTATTTTTCCACTGAAGTAAGCGAGACTGTTGAAAAATAATTGAAAGGATGTGAATAATGTATAATTGCAACAAACAATCTTGAAACCAAATCCAGTAGCTTTTTATTCAGGTAAATATCCATAATTTTTTATAGTGTTTTTGTTAATAGATTGATTTTTATTTTTACTTGTTCATTTAACATGTATGAGGTAACTAACAAATTAATATGGTAGAAAATGAAATATCTGTTTTAATAATTGTTTTTTTTTATATTTGCCATTACTAGAGAAAAGTAAATAACAAAGATACATGCTAATAGTATTTGCATTGTTTTTTAGCAATAGTATTCTAGGGTTAAAAATAAAGATATAAGGAAAGATTTTGCAAGTACTAATTTATTTTTCTTTATATCTCTCATGGATGTTCGTGCTCATCTATCCAAAACTTAAGAAGGGCATCAGGGAAAACTTTCTGACATCATCCAGAAAATTGGTAAACTGATCTACAAGAATTGTTATTTAATGTACAGCAAGGTACAGGCTCTGGCTGAAATCTCAGGAATTAACCCTTTAACGATTTCTGGTCGATATATCGACCGGTTATGAATCACTGACTTCTAAATGTTGCACAGGTCTGTGAATAAGCCAGTATCACGATTCTTTCTAAGGAACAATCTTTCAATGAGTTAGTAACAGTAAATGCACTGTCATAAGTGGTTTATAACTCAACTGGTGTGCCTTTAGTGTACTAGCTGTCTTACATGTGTTCTGTTTTGTTGTTTCAATTACCCAATTTTTATGAAAAAACTGTTATTTAGGTAAGTTTTAATTATTTTATATCATATTTGTTTATACAGAACATTGTCACAATATATAGAGCAAATGGAATGCAGCTTATTAGTGATAAACACAATAAAATATTGTTAGACTGCAAATTTTTTTAGATTACGAGTGCTTTTTTTTAGTTTTCTGTTTTAATTTTCAAATTAGTAGTGTTAGCAAAATTATTTAAGATTTTTTTCATTAACTAAACATTGTATGAATGAAATAAAATTCTAAATTAGGATATAAAATTTCGGCTGAGATGTTATATCTAGTTCATACTGCCAACATGTTAGTTGATTTGAAACGCAATTATTTATTTTGTCTGTATAATAATGATAGCAATTATTATAACAAAATAATAATTATAAAGCATTGGTAATATAGCAACATTAAATTTTTTGTTATAGTAAATGAAGTTCTGTGCTAGAATGTCGACTCATGATTGACAAGCTACAATAGCTAGATCCCAATCAACTCTACAGATGGATTGATGGTATAACTGATGATCAAGCCACATACTCAGAAGATGGTAAATTGAATGCCCAAAAGCAGTTTGTGATTACAATTGGTTATGGGGGACATCGATATATTCAATCAGATGCTTTCTTGCTAAGCTCTCTTGGAAATTCAGAAAATGGTGAATGAAACTATTGTACTACTCCTAAATGCTACAGTAGTAAACAGTTATATATTGTATAATCTTGGAATGAAAAGAAATTCACGCAAGCCTATGTCACACATTTGGCATACCGCAGCTTTATTGCCAATGAGTTCATACATAATTTTTCGAGTAGAAAGGGATCCTGTAGCAACAACATTTCGTAAAATCAACAAGATTGAAGGATGAAAGGTGTCTACTGATCCTGTGGTTAGAAGTTCGATGGTTGGTGACATTTATCTGTAAAAGGTACCTCTCAGCAATGTGCTTTCTATAGCACAGAGAAGAAGCCAAAGCGATCTCACATGATATGCAAAAAATGAGATGTTGCCCCTTATTTGGAATGTTTTACACCTTTCCATTTGTAATAATTGTCTCTTACAATAATTTTCTTTTGAATAAAACAGTGTCTAAAGTCGTTGGGACCTCAATGGTACTTTGGTTGAAAAATCAACCAGGTCCTGTTCGACAAAGAAAAAAACATAATACTAAGAGGATACATTATGACTCTCTTTATAGTTGTTTTGCATTGCATTCCACAACGTGGAACTGCCAGTTCCACGTTGTTCTCCGAGTGCAGAGGTTCCCTCTCACCCGGCTCTGGAACCCAATTGAGCCATGTGTTACCTTTAGTCAAATTTAATTTAATATTGAACATCACAGTTATTTTATAACACAATGTACAACATTTCATAACTAAATGTAATTTAAAGGGTTTTTACCCTAATATTTTGGTGGCTCAGGCATTATGACCTAGCATTTTCGATTTTAATAACCTGATGATGGACTGTGTGGTCCGAAAACGTTTGTTTTATTGATGTGGCCCTTTTAAGGGTTTTTTAACTAAATATACCCATTTACAAAGATTAACCACTTTTTACTTTGTAATGCAATTGGTGATCAACCCAACATTTTATAGCACCAGTTCTATAGTTATTTAATTACCACAGTTCATAATGTTTTATCTTTCTTGCATTCTCAAATCTAAATATACTAAGTATTTTTTATTTCAACAGATCTAAAACGACGGGCAAAGAAAAGGCGTTATCATCGTCATCATCATCAGAGGACATATCTTCACCATATAAAAACTCGTTAACCAAAATAAAACCCGTAAATAGCGATGATAATGACGATTTCAAAACTCCCGTTAAAATGTTTACGAAGATGTTCAAGCAGGCACCTTCAAAAAAAGGAAAGTCAAATGCCAAAAAATCTAATAATAAGATAAAAAATCCTATAATAAAACGCACAAAAGACAATTTCAAAAATTTGGATGTGGATGCTGAGCAACTGCAAATGGCTATAGCTTTGTCGAAGTCTACGTTTGCGCAAGAATATCCAGAACAAGCTCTTCATAATACAGAACCAGATTTGCCTACGTTTTTATCTCCAAATAATATCCCAAAATGTACTACTTTTCTGGAAAAGTATGGTTTTAAATCTAAGAGGTCGACATTACAAGCAGATTTTAGTGGAGAAGTAATTAAAGTAAGTATATTAAGTAATTTTTATCGGTACAATGGATCGATTTTTTTTTTAATTGATTTTGAGCCTTTGTGCAAAATATGATAGGTATGTGGAACTACAATTAATATTCCATTTGTATTTGAACAAAATTTAATTTGCTTATATTGCCCCAAAGGCTCTTAAAAAAATTTTTAAACTCATTTTGTTTCTTAACTCATTGTTTTGAATTATGGTCAATATATCAGCAAGAAGTAAAAGAACTAGAAATTTGGAAGAGGAAAAATTTGAGGCGATTTATGGCGGAATCAAGGTCAGAAAAAATTAGGTAGCAAGTTTTTTTTATTATTTGTTTTTATTCATTTCAACGATAGAACCATTTACAATAAAATACAAAAAATGGTAAAAAGTAAAGATTATAATGTATAATAAACATCAAAACAACAACAAAGAAACAATTAAATAGTAAAAATTTGTACATTAAAACACTATATCAAATCACAAAAGGTAAAAAAATATCACTTATATAGATTAATTAGACAGTTGCCTTTTCAAAATATTAATGTTTGGACAGAATGGATCCAATAGGAGGTCATTGCAAGAGCTGAGCATTCTCGACAAGGGAAAATGGAAAAGGAATGCCAGAGTAGAGTTGCAAATCGTTTTTGGCGTCACCAATTTTCAAAGAAATATGGCGTAGGAATTCATAGTCCGTTTCTTTCAATATAATAATATGCTCCTCCTGAATCACTCTTCTACGACCATATTCGTGTATCGACGTTTTATCTTTTCTACCATCGTAAAATAATCCGATGATGTCTGCACCTAAACTTGTAGTTTCATCTGTCAATGTAGCCCTAGCTTTGGAATAAGCTCGTCGAACTCTACTTGTCTCTAACTCGTGATGAACCGTTTTCAGTAATGAGACCAATGTCTCGAAAAGCTGTAGAAATGATTGCAGATTGCAACTAAACACTTTAGTTCACATTCAAAACACATTCGAAAAGTATATTTATAGTAAAATGTTAAATTTTCTGAATAAATATGATATCTTAAATAAATGCCAGCATGGGTTTCTTCCTAATAAATCTACAGAGAGTGCTTCTATTTCATTATTTAATTATATCCACGCTGCTTTGGATCGAAAAAGGTATGTGGGTGCACTCTTTTTTGACTTAACTAAGGCTTTTGATTCTATTGACATTGAAATTATACTGCATAAATTAGAAGCCCTTGGTTTTCGGGGTTATTTCTTGAACTGGTTAAGGTCATACTTACAACATCGTAAATTCCTAGTAAAAGTCGATAATAAGAAGTCATCTGTTTTTAATCTTGATCGAGGTGTACCGCAAGGCTCCGTATTGGGACTCCTAATATTTCTTTTATATGTCAATGATTTGACACATTTTTAACTGCAGACCATATAGTTCTTTATGCAGATGATTCAACAATTGTAGTTGACGAGTCAAATGAAGTCGAACTCATATCAAAAATGAACTTAGTAGCACAGGAATTTACAACCTGGTGTAAAAGGAACTCTTTAATGGTAAATGCAAAGAAAACTATTTGTATGCAGTTCTACTCGCGCTTTAAGCCATCCCATGGTTATAAAATCACAGTTAGTTCTGGGGAAATACCTTTTAGTGATACAACATTATTTCTTGGTAGCATTCTAGAAAGTAATATGACATGGGATGCAAATGTCATTAAAGTCTGCAAAACAATGAATAAGGGTTACTATGCGATCCTTCAGTTGAAAACTCTATTTAACACCAATCAATTGATAAGTGTGTATTATGCATTGGTTTATTCATATATGGCCTATAATGTTATCTTGTGGGGAAACTCTAGAAACTCCTCTAGAGTTTTTATAACTCAAAAGAGAATTCTTAGATTGATATTCAATATTAATAATAGACAATCATGTCGTAAATATTTTATTGAACACAGGCTGTTGACTTTTCATGCTTTATATATTTATAAGTGTATTATTCACGTCAAAACTAAATTTCAAAATTTTACCCTCAACTCTGACTTTCATAATTACCCGACAAGACACGGGAGGTTGATAAGCGTGTGTAAACACTCCACAACTCTCTTTGAAACTAGTCCTGATTTTGCAGGATCTAAATTTTATAATTGTTTGCCACTTAATATAAGAAATGAAAACAATATTCAAAAATAAATTAAAAGCATGCTTGATCCAATTATGCGTTTACAACCTAAATGAATATTTTGACTTAATAAAAGACTACAGAGAATAAGGACCGACGGGTTCAGAGACGCTCTATATTGCATATCTTTGTTTTTTATTTTTATATTAATCTATATTTTATTGATTTTGTTTTATGTAATTGTCCTATATAACTTGTTGATCATGCTTTATGTACTATATGACTTGTCCTATATCACAATGTGATCTGATGGGTTAATAAAGAATATTCTATTCTATAATAATTTCAAATACCGTTAATAACTTTTATTTAGCATTCTTTAAAAGCTTCTTCTCCTTCGGTGTCTTCTTAGCTTAAATTAGATACTTATATGAATTATATTTTAGTTTCAGGAAACAAAAAGACCAAAAAAATCAAAGTACCGATTCGTAACACCGGTTCTTTTTCTTCGCAGTGATAAAGAAAGAAAAGATTTAATTGATACCAAAGTTTCTCGATTATTAAGCGAACAAAAAGAAAACACTTCAAGAAACGCCAACATACATTCTGTTGAACTAAACAGCACGTTTTTAGGAGATTATGCGCAGGAAAAGAAATGTTGGCAAATGAACTGTTTTAACGATTTCGACGCGTACATTTGCCCTTCTCTTGAACTGTCTCCAACTAAGGCTGCAGCGGGATATCTCCTTAAAGATTGGGATAGCATACCAGGTAGAGCCAGGTCACCAATTCCAGATACAGTGTCTAAAGAAGTTAGTGACGATGATGCTACAGAATTTCAACATTCGAGCATGAAGTCAAATGAAGAGTGTTCTTCAATAAACCAAGAAGATCAAATGTGTTTGGATGCTCAGAGTAACAAAGTAAGTGAGAATGAGTATGACATCGATGTTATAGTAGACGCAGAAGTCGAACAGTCGTTTAAAGTCTGTAATATCGAACAAGAAGTGCAGAAAAACATACATGGTTGTGATAAACTTGATATAAGCGTATATAAAGTTGATAAATGCATTTCTCCAGATTTATTTGACTCTGATAATGATAACGAATATTGCAAATCTCCAATTAAACGTTTTTCAAAAGATAACAACTTAACCAAAGAATTGTTATCAGAAAATTTGCTTGATTCTTCCACAGATCTTAAAGATATGCCTACAGATAAGAGGTCACATATTGGTGTTAAAGAGTCGCCAATAAAATCTAGATATTTTGAAACTAGTCCAGATAACTTTAAAATGTCTTCCCTCGGTAAAGATACGGTGCAAAAAATTAGATGTAATTTATATAATAAAGGAATATCTTGTGATCCACCGAACTATTCACTAGATATAAAACCTCTTGATTCAACGGTTGATACAGTATCATTGGAAAATAGGTCTAGGCTTAATAGTAGTGAAATAGTTACTGATAAATCCGAAGAAAGTCAATATAAAGTATATAAAAACGATCAATGTAAGGAGACAAATTTTTATTCATGTGATAATTCATCTTTTAAAGAAATATCAAGGTATGATTTACCTGATAATAAAACACTTGAAAATAAAGAAGATCTTATTGGTGATATATCAAATGGTTCAAATGATTTCGTATCTGAATCCAGTAAACAAAGCCAAAACAAAAATGAAGCATCTGATGGCGAACCGATACAAAGTTCCATTCAAAATATCTCATCAACTAAAGAAGTTTTGGATTTTGGTTCAAGCTATACCAGATTAAAAAACTCTGCAGAGAATCATGAGGATGTGCATGATTTGTCATGCACAGAATCCGAAACAGAATCGACACTATCTGAGCAATTACCGATTTATTCGAATAACACAAGTCTTCCTTGTTCTAGTAAAGAAACATGTAAGAGTACTAAAATATCTACGATAGCATTGTCCACGAGTGAATCGCCAAACAGATCTTATCGGAAGGTTTCAAACGTCGATGACTTAACTAAGAATGTATCAGTTTCCAGTGAACACTTAAACTTGAGCTCAAAATCTTTTGTAACTAAACGGAAGAAACAGTTTACGAAATTTTACAGTAGTGAAATGTTAGATATGGATTTGTCTGATAGCGAGATACCAAATAGTTGTGTAAATTTGTCTGGAAAATGCAAAACTGTATCTGATGATATGTTAGGAATAAACCTCTGCGAGGAAAAGAACAGTCCTGAGTTAGTTAAAGATTCAATCATAGATTTATCCCAAACCGATTCCAACGATTCAGAATCGTCTCCTTTCGACGCGCAGAAAGATGATCTTAGTTTGTGTAAAAATGATTTGGGTGAAACAATAAAAGTTACGATAGGTGATCATCATCAAAATACTGCCAACGGTGATGATGCATTTGGTAAACCAGTTAAAGGGAATGAAGAAATGGTGGATTTAACTCATAGTTCAGACGACAACACCAGAGACATTGAAGGTAAAGGAGTTTAATGGTTATTAGTATTAATATTTTTCTTCCTGTTTCTTACTCTTCGTCGCCACTCATTTTTGTCCTTCGGGTCTTCTTCACCTAAACGTTTCCCTCTCAAGTCCTCTTTACACAGTCTCCACACAATCCATCCATCTTCTCCTTGGTTTTCCTCTACCTCTCCTTCCATCAACTTCTAACAGTTCTATCCTTCGTCCCACATAGTTTTTATCTCTACTTCTGACATGACCAATCCATTTCAGTTTTTGTTCTTAAATATTTTTTGAGACTGTAGTCATCCCGGCTCTTTCCCTAATCAAGTAGTTTCTGATCCTGTCCCTTCTAGTCTTACCCAATCCCAGTCCATCTTCTTTTCCCGAATCTTCTTTACAGGCCACACTTTACCGCCGTACACCAACGTCGTTCTCACCGCACTCTTTTATATCTTTCCTTTTAGCTCTTCCCTGATTTTTCGATCACCAAATACCCCACTCAGTCGCTTCCAGTTAAACCAACCAGCCTGTATCCTGTGGGCAATATCTCGATCTAGTATCTCATTTTCTGTTATGTAGGAGCCAAGATATTTAAATTTAAATAAATCCATAACAAGGTTAAGCAAAAAACTTTCGGTCAATCCGACAGCACTCTACTTACTTTGGTGTAAGCTCCCTCATACATGTCCTTCACAAGCTTTACATACTTCTCAGGAAACCCATTTTCTCTCATATATCTCCATAGCTCTTGTCTAGGAACTGTGTCTTATGCCTTCTCAAGATCTATAAATATCAAATATAACTCCCTTTTCTTCTCGCCCTAGTTATATATTTCTCTATCAACTATCTCAAAGTAAACAAAGCATACGTTCTCCTCCTTCTTGGCGTAAACATAAACTGTTCTTTTTCTATCGATGTCTCTCTCCTTAATCTTCGCTATACAGTGCTGAGTGTCTTACCACCCGGCTTTTTAACGTAAGAGATAGAAAACACAGTTACCTTGTGAAATAAAAAGAGATGAAACTCGTAGAGGTGGGAAATAATCGATAGAAACCTATAATTTACATTACATTATATTACCAATATCGATAGTCTCACACCTTTAGACGTTAGCTTCGAGCTAAATCACCTCGGTCATAATTATTATGTTTGACGTCGTATGTGTGACGTATTTCCATTTTTTAATTTCGCATAAAGTAAAAACTGACCACAATAAAGCAAAAATGTGAATAAAATAATTTAATTAATAGTGATTATTTAATCTAAATTAATTTTATCTAAATTTTTATTTAAATTTAATCTAAAGTTTTAAATTATTAACCAAAAATAATTTCTACTACGATTTTAGGAGTTTCATACTCTTGTCAGAGAACTACGAACACAGGTTTCTAACTGTGGTCGTTAGTTCTCTGCTCTTGTCACGGAATAATTATAAATCCATCGTGGATTAGTGGTAAGAATTCGACACTGCGGTGCAGACGATTAGAGTTCAAAACCTACATGTGTTTTTTTAATAATTTGAAATTATGCAGAGATCGTTTTGCTTTTGAGCATTTATGTCAGTCGTTACTAGTATTAGAAGTGTTTAAAATTAAACATAAATATCTTATTGAAAAAAGTGTCCGTCGTACTTTCGAAAATAAAGTAAAAATTCCTCAAAATTAAAAGAAGGTTTAAAGAATGTTTAAATAAGTAAAAATTCTACAAAAATAAAAAAATATTGTAAATAAACGTAGTTACAATTGTCAATTGTTTTGAAAATCATTACCTGTACAGAGGAATTGATATTAACATTGAGAATTTAGTGATGGATTTGATATAAACAGTCTTCACCGGATTATTTTGCATTCACAACTGAAGACTGTATGAATTGAATTTGAATTATTTTGTATTTCCGTTTTATAACATTGGAATAAAAATAAATTGTAAATAATGAGTTTTTTGAAAATTGGTTACCTAATATGTATCATATTTTCTATTATTTTTTGATTGATAAAACAAAAATTTTATCCTTGGTGTGAATTGAACCCCAATTTTCTCGTCAATAGACAACGTCCCTAACTACTACACCAATTCCACATACATTAATTGTTTTCGGACAGAACATACCTACCTTTATTTTAGTCAAATATTTCAGTTGAGTTATTTTTATTGTTAAATAAACTTAAAGATTTATAATTTAAAATCGCTACTAATGAATGTTTTTTTACTATAATATATCTTAATTTATTCAAATATTTATTCTAACATCAGAAATTATTAAAATAAAATATTTTTGAAGTTATTCCTATAATTATGACTGAAGTCAAATAGCCACATTTAACGTCTAAAGGTGTGAGACTATCGATGGTGGTAATGCAATGTAATGTAAATTATAGGTTTCTATCGATTATTTCTCACCTCTACGAGTTTCATCTCTTTTTATTTCACAAGGTAACTCTGTTTTCCATCTCTTACGTTAAAAAGCCGGGTGGTAAAGCACTCATCACTGTATAGTTCTCTCCCAAATTTTTATTGTGTGTGACAATAATTTTACCCCATAGTTCTTACAGTCCCGAATGCTCCCTTTAGTTTTATACAATGATACATCACATTCTCTCCATCCATTGGACATCATTTCTTCCTCATATATCCTACTCATCGCTCGCCACAAAATATCAACCCCTTCCTTTCCTAGAGCCTTCCAAACCTTCACATGTAATTCATCAGGTCCTACTGCCTTACCCATTCTTCATCCTATATTTAACGCCTCGACAACTTCATCTCTCGCTATCCCCGGTATTACTTTCTCATTAGGCATCCCGCATCCTCTGTCTCTTCTCTGGTATTCTTCATTTAGCAACTCTCGTAAGTACTCATACCATCTTTGCTTTATTTCAACATCGGTTATTAACACTCTTTTATTCGCACTCTTAATCTGCCGCACATGAGTCAAGTCACTTGATGACTTGTCCCTTGTTCTAGCAATGGTGTAACCTTTTCATCCCCACGGGTGTTAGCAACTCTTCATACAACTGTGCTAACGATGTTTCCTTAGAAGTAGCTACAACCATATAGATTAAAAATTACAAAACATTCAATTTGAGTTATCAAAAAAAAAACAGAACTAAGTTTGTATATTTACATTCTTGTACTTGCTATAAAAATTGTCTGTGTACTAACAGGGCGACTCCATCTTTGGCTCTACTTTCTTTCGCAACACCACTGTAAATCATCAGATAGTCATCTAGCATAATGAATTTGAACCTTTTCTTTTTTCTTCGGCTCTTGTAGTGCACATTCTATATTTTTTTCTACAATCTCTTTTGTAACTTCCTACTGATGCGAAGTATATTTCTCGTTTTCCATAAATTCGTTGTCCTCTTTCTCGCATTAGTCGTCGTAATCATTCCTGTTCCGAGGAATAATTCTGTTTTTATGAACTGTATGGTTTTAAAGTCTATCAGTCATGGACGTATAAATAAAGACGTCCTTGCTATCAGTAGGGTGCTAACCTGGCTGTTGACCCTCTCTTCCTTTATCCGGGATTGGAACTGGCAAAAGTTCTGTCGAAATACTCGATCCACCCAGCGAAACTGCAGTTCAGTAATTCGTTCTAGGTATATATTGCGTCTATTGATCTTTCTTAATACTTTTGTTGTAGGTATTTCATTGTTTCTGTAGCAATCGTATATTGCGGTTTCCAATAGTTTTATAAATAAATATAATATTGACGGTTTTGGACAAAACCTAATTAGGTAATAATAAAATACCTAATAACGGGATTGGATAGTCCGGACCATTCCGTTCCGTGATAATGTGCGACCTGCTTTAAATTTCGTATTTTTTAGACTTGAATAAAAAAGTTGGCACAGAATCCAATCCGCAATGTAAAAATGAAGAAAAGCTTGGAGATTCATCAAGACAATCTTTTGGAATAAAGACCTATTCTAGAGATTCTGGCAATGCTTCGTGTGAGTTCAGCTCGACAAAGTCATTGAATGTAACCGATTACGTCCTAGGAATTTTAAACTTAGAAGGTAAATATCACGTGGGTCAATATTGTTTTTTATTTTTAATAATTTTTCTTAAAATCAATACAGATGATGCAGCTACAGAGAATAATTTGAAAGATAGTGAAGATCTTCCAGATGCTGAATATTTTAGCCAAAGCCATAGTACTTGTTCACAAGGAAGTATAGAGATACTAGATGATGAAGAGTTAAATTATTCAAGCAAGTTTAGTGCTGAACATCACAAGGATTTTTATAATTTAACTAATTTTGATGATATGTGTATTAATCATTGTAATGAATCTAAGGATATTGATGAGGTACACTTAGGTAAGTTATTATTTTTATGTTAAATTTAATTTCATGATTGTTAAAAATATTTAAACTAAAAGTTTAACTATTCGGAAAACTCTTTTAAACAACATGTTTCGATACATTTATAAGTAACTTCTTCAGTCCTGCAAAGCGGTAAGTTTGAGAACACACTATATGAGAGATCACAAGTTGCTCTTCGACTAATAGAAACAAGGAACACTCACTATCTATAAATCCTAAGATAACAGAGATGGTCCTCTTTACCAGGAAAAGAAGAATCACGGGCTTAATACCCCCAAGGATTCTAAACTACAGTCTAAATTTTTCTGACGAGATGAAGTACCTTGGTATTACCCTTGACAGGAAGTTAACATGGAACTCACACCTAGATGGTAGAGCTAAAAGAGCATATATTGCCTATGAACAGTGTCGACGAACGGTTGGACGCACCTGGGGCCTCACGCCCAGGGTGATCGCCTGGGTCTACACCGCTGTCATTAGGCCAATGCTAACTTACGGAGCTATTGCTTGGGTACCAAAAGTGCTACAGGCAACAGCGATTAACAAACTAAACCATATTCAGCGGATGGCTTGCATAAATATAACAGGTGCCATGAAAACAACACCAACTGCTGCAATGGAGTTGATCATTATCATCACGCCACTAGATATATATGTCAAAAAGGTAGCTCTAGTGACAATGATGCGATTGCGCTCAGCTGGTGCAAACCTTGATGTAGGAATGGGACAATTGAGAACTCGTTTCTGACGGGGAGAGCTGGATGCGTTACCAGTACTATAGGCAGGCTGCGACTCAATTAAACCAAAGATCGTCTTTAACAAACCCTACAAAATTGAAACAAGACAGTATATGGAGACAAACGTGGCAAATGCCTACTGCATATACACCGATGGCTCCAAAATGAAAGAAGGCTCAGGATGCGGGATATACTCCAGATCACTGAACCTAAGAATAAAGTGGGGTATGGGCAAAAATTCCAGTGTAGTTCAGACAGAACTAACTGGTATTTCCATAGCCGCAAAAGAGATAACCCAAAAAGGTATAGCAGGGAAAACTATAATAATCTGCACAGATAGCAGACAAGCGCTACTAACCTTGAATAGACCACGTGTCACATCAGGTTTAGTAATGGAGTGTCACGAGTCACTAACTCAAGCTTCGAATGGTAATACCATCATTCTGAAGTGGGTTAAAGGACACAATAGGAATAAAGGCAACCGCATTGCTGACCAATTATCTAGGAAGGCGGCAGGCCTAAGACTCTTAGGACCTGGGGATCTTTTTGGTTGGTCAACTACAACAATAGCGGAAATTGTCAAATGTCACTCCCATACGCAAACCGTAAAAAGATGGGAAGAAGGGAAAGGATGTAAACTTGCCAGGGTAACACTAAGTAACCTTGAAGAGTCAACATCAAAGAAGTACTTGGGAATGACCAGGAAAAATCTACGTTTGGCAGTTGGTTTTTTAACTGGTCATTGTCAACTAAGCAAACACCTCCACACACTGGGGCTAGTAGACACACCTCTATGTAGGAAGTGTGAACGAGAAGACGAAACTGTAGAGCATGTCCTATGTGAATGCCCAGAATTATCGTTAATACGAGAGTACGCGTTCGGCGAGTCCTGGCCTACACCTGCCCACATAAGTGAGATGTCTCCTGGTGACTTGTTCACCTTCCTAGAAATGGCAGGATGGACAATGAGCTAAGGGTGACAGCTCCCTGGGAGGATGCACAATGGGTCAATTGTGGCCTAAGTGCTGTGAAACTTAACTCGCCCTCCCTACTCTATAGGAGGTAGCTTCTTCAGGAGTAGGGTAGGGTTTTAGTATCTACACTTCTAGTACTCAAAGTATACACAAGCGAAAATGAACAGCCGAGGAAGGGGTTCACGCATAGTAACTCAAATACTAAACATATCCAGAAGTGAAAGGCGTGAACGGGTGTTTAGATATTTAGGGTATAAATTCGTTTGGTATTTCTAAAATGTGTTGAATTTGATTGCTTTAAGAATAAACAACAATTTGGGCAAATATATTAAAAACAACAAAAGCCAAAAGAAAAAGCACTTACACAGTATTGCATATAAACACTTACATGTGACGACTACCCAAAAACTTACATCGGTCAAACTGGTAGAACTTTTAACACGTATAGCAGAAAATAAAAGGGTTTTCAATAATAGAAAAAAAGATTCTAGTACGCACTTTAATTTCTAGATCAGAATCATTCTTTTGGCCTTAAGGTCTTTATCAAAACAAAAAAATTAAACTATCTTTATTAGAATCTAAAGAAATCAACAAAACTTGCTCTGTGGTTAGAGCATTCAAACATATTTTCTTTTTTGTGTATGATGCAAAGTATTCCAATATTCCAATCACTGGGGAGGGATTTATGTGCCCATATTTCTCTTATTCAACGAAGATATTCAACGAAGATGCCGAAAAGACAAACAAGAATACATCTCTGAAATCTGCCAAGAAATAGAAAATCACGGATATCGAAATTAAACCAAAGACCTCTTCCGGAAAGTGAAAATTCTTGCGAGAGAATTTAAACCCAAGAACTATGCAATAGAGGACAAACATGGTATTATCATAAGTGATATCGACAGAGTGTTGGAAACATGGAAAAACTATTGTTCAGAGCTCTACAGGGAAGAACACGTAAATCTAGGCCACACTTCAGCCCTCGAAAACACTGAATACAACCCTGAACCTGAAATTCTGCTGTCCGAGATTGAAGAAGCTGTAACTCACCTCAAGAAGAATAAATCCCCTGGCTGCGATGATATCACGGGAGAGCTCCTTCAGAACATGGGAGACAAAGGATGTTACATAATGTGGAAACTTTGTAATAAAATTTGGAGATGCGGAAAGTGGCCCAGAGAATGGCGCACATCATTGTGCATACCAATCCATAAAAAAGGAACAACTACAAAGTGTAGTAATTATCGTACCATCTCACTGATTTCCCATCCAAGCAAAATATTACTAAGAATCATTAAACGCCGTTTGCAACAGTACTTAAACAACCAAATTCCCCAAGAACAAGCAGGCTTTGTCAAAGGGAAGGGTACGAGAGAGCAAATCCTTAATATGCCGCAGCTCATAGAAAAGGCCCACGAATTTAAAATTCCAATAATAATCTGTTTTCTAGACTACCAAAAGGCATTTGATTGTGTAAAGTGGGAAGTTCTCTGGACAGTTCTTCATGAGATGGGAGTTCCAGATCATTTGGCAATATTAATTAAAAACTTGTACGAAGATAACTCAGTTAAAATAAGAATTGAAAACCAGCAATCTGATACCTTCAAAACCAGCAGAGGTGTACGACAAGGCTGTATACTATCTCCAGACCTGTTCAATTTATATGGAGAATACATAATGAGGAACGCACTCGATGGATGGAGAGGCGGCATCTCCATTGCAGGAAAAAACAAACTTAAGATTCGCAGACGATACAACACTGATAGCAACATCTGAAGAGGAGATGTCGAGACTGATAAAGAGAGTAGAAACCGAAAGCAACAAGTGTGGGCTCAAGATTAATAATCAGAAAACAAAAATCATGATTGTGGACCACGCGAATATCCTCCAAACAACAGGCGCCCTAAATCAATTCGAGAAAGTAGACGAGTTCACGTATCTAGGATCTTCCTTAAGCAATGCAGCCTCCTGCCATACGGAAATTCGCAGAAGAATAGGAATGGCCAAGAACGCGATGAGTCGACTGTCAAAAATATGGAAGGACCGCTCTTTGTCCAAAAAACTCAAAATGAGACTGGTACGGACACTCGTTTTTTCAATCTTTAGAGCACAGATCCAATCAGTCGATTCTCGAAGAGCTAAACATTCAGACCAGACTCTCCTCTCAGTGTCTTGCAAATGTTTTAAATTTTTTTGGCCACATTGCGAGAAGAGACAATGACAACTTAGAAAGACTAATTGTGTGCGGAAACGTAGAAGGACGTAGAGGCCGAGGACGCTCACCTATCCGATGGTCAGATCAAGTACAGAAAGCCACTGGAGAGACGTTTTCCGAGTCCATGAGAGCAGCCCAAAATCGCAAGAGATGGAGAGAATTGACAGCCCGCATTGTAGGGAATCACGATCCTCAGCAATGAGGAAACGACAAGAGAGAGATTTCTCTTATGAACTTTTGTAATACCATTATGTTATCGTGGTCACTCTATATAGTTCAGATGGGAGATTATTTATTCCGGGTGATTTGTTTCTGGCTAGTTTTTTAACTGCATCGTTCGTGGTTTCTCTTCCCTCTCGTATGTTCTGCTTACTTCATCACTTTCTTCTTCCTTTATATTAAATACCCGGTGTTTATTTTCTGTCATAAAATTAAATGGCACGACGCAGCGGCAAGACTCTTGCCAAGTGGAAAGTTTGCTTGAGGATATTCTACGTATTTCGGTCAGAATGCGCAAAAATTTATTTATTTCTAGTTAAATTAATACATAAATTGATATAAGGTTGAATGCTCGAATAAATGAACTTTGAAAAATGAAAGGCAAATATCGAGCACAATTTCAACAATTAAATCTTGCCCAAGTACTTTCACTTACTACAGCATTATCAGGGGCATTTTGTCAAATTTAGGCTATCCAGCAAGCGTAGAATGTGATAAACATGAATTTTAACATAAAATTGTACAAAACACTACACTAAAACAATGACAAACAGTTTAAAATTAATTAAAATGGTTCTACGCTCTACAGTTTTTGTCAGCAACAGGAGAGAGAATGAAAGTGTAGTGTTTTGTACAATTTTATGTTAAAATTCATGTTTATCACATTCTACGCTTGCTGGATAGCCCAAATTTGACGAAATACCCCTGATAATGCTGTAGTAAGCGAAAGTACTTGGGCAAGATTTAATTGTTAAAATTGTGCTCGATATTTGCCTTTCATTTTTCAAAGTTAATATATAAATAATAAACGTAATAACAATTGGGACAATTCAGTGCTAAGTAATAATAGAATAAAATAGTGATATTGTTGATTTATCATTTTTAAAAACGTAGTTGCGGCTTGAATGTCAGCAATTTTTGTAGGCGGCGAATATCTGGTGGTGTTAAAGCCAAATGTACAAAGTAACAGTCCCCACCTCTTCAGTTGACTCGGGCTGATACAAATTCAAAATCGGAAGATTCAGCTATCTCCAAAATACTTCCCACGTCAGTGTTTTCCAGGGTTTCGTTTATAGGAATGTTTGTGAGTGCACAATATCTGCTTGTTCAGGAACTTTCTTCTTTGTTTATTTATTAACAATTATTTGTTTATACGAGATATTCACATTAAGTAGCAGTTTTATTGTAATGAACTTATATTGTAACATTATTTATATTTCATAATGGGAATTTCATAATCATAATTGATATAATCATTTCAATACTTAATTTAATGTATCAAAGAAAAACTTTATTGACGCTAGATTCTTTGTTTTTAAACTCATATACTCTTTTATTTTTAGAACTGAAGAATAAATACTGCCAACAAAACAATACTGATAATGACGATAATGATAATGGTAAAGATATCTCTCAGGAGTCCTTGTCAAAGCACGAATACTTTGAACCAATGGCGACAACGAATTTAGGTAATATAAACGTGAGCGTGTGTCAAAATAAAAAAGTTCCTATGCAGCCGGGACATAAATATAAACTTAAGAACGAGAATGTTAAGGTGCTATGTTTTCTCCGTTCTGCTGTACGGCATGGAAGCCTGGACACTGAAAAAGATAAATATCAAAAACATTGAGGCATTCGAGATGTGGGGTTACAGGAGAATGTGTAAAATACCATGGACAGAAAGAGTAACAAATCAAGATGTTCTGCTGAAGATAGGGAAGGAATGCGAAGTCATAAAAACCATACAAACGAAAAAACTGTAATATCTGGGCCACATAATGAGAGGAGAAAAGTACTCTCTGCTTAGACTCATAATCCAAGGAAAAATCTCGGGAAAGAGAAATGTGGGACGTAGGAGGATTTCCTGGTTGCGAAATTTAAGGGAGTGGAATGGGTGCAGTCCAATACAGTTGTTCAGAGCTGCAGCCAACAAAGTAAAGGTTGCTGTGACGGTAGCCAACCTCCCATAGGAGACGGTACTGTAAGAAGAAGAAACGTGAACTTTATCTTTTATTCAAGTGCCGTGTCGTATGTCCAGTGGCATAACTACAATTCAGGAGACCCGGGACAATATAAGAAAAAAGCTAAGACTTATCTCCATATAGGAACCACCTGAATACATGTTTAAAATTAAAGATAAAATATAATAAAATGTATACCTATACTATGCTAAAAATTACTTTTAACTGAATTACTCTGGTATTATTATTTTGGTAATATTCATACTTTAATTAATTCATTTTTTTTTACAATTTGTACTTACAAACATTTTTTTTATTTAAATGAAATGAGGTTGAATGCTCGAATAAATGAACTTTGAAAATAAGGCTATTATCGAGCACAAGTTAATTAAATCAAGCCCAAGTACTTTCGCTTAAAAAAGCATCTTCAGGGGCATTTCGTCAAAATAAGAACTATCCGGCAAGCGTAGGATGTGGAAACATTAAAACTAACATAAATTATACAAAACACTACACTAAAACGAGGACAAACAGTTTAAAATTAGACAAAATTACTTCTACGCTACATTCTCTGTAGAGAATGTAGCGTAGAAGTAATTAGTTTTAAACTGTTTGTCCTCGTTTTAGTGTAGTGTTTTGTATAATTTATGTTAGTTTTAATGTTTCCACATCCTACGCTTGCCGGATAGTTCTTATTTTGACGAAATGCCCCTGAAGATGCTTTTTTAAGCGAAAGTACTTGGGCTTGATTTAATTTTTTTTATTATTTTTATTTGTGAAAATTGTTTGATTACATTCTCGAAGTTGATGGTGTTTGCTAATTCACGTTCAATCGAGAACATTCATCATCATCTTTGGCTCGATAATCCTCTGTGGATCTTGGCCTGCTCTAAGATTCGTCGCCATTCTGTTCGGTTTTTGGCAACATCTTGCCATCTTCTGATTTTTAATATTCGTAAGTCGGTTTCAACTCCATTTAACCACCCAATTCGCGGTCGGCCTTTGCTTCTTTTTCCTACAGGTGTTCCTGTGGTTAGCTTTTTAGCAATGGTATTTTCTGGCATTCGTATTATGTGTCCAGCCCATCTAAGTCGCTGTGTTTTAATGAACGTTATGACATCTGGCTCATCAAAGAGCTGATACAATTCTTAATTATATCTTCTGCGCCACTGCCCTTGGTCGTTTACAGCTCCAAATATTTTGCGGATTATTTTACGCTCAAATATTCCCAAAAGTCTTTCATCTTTCTGCGTTAGAGTCCATGTTTCTGCTCCATATGTGAGGACCGGCCTCAGCAATGTTTTGTATATAATAATTTTAGTTCTTCTTTGAATGTTTCTTGAGTGGAAATGCTTTTGGAGTCCATAGTATGCCCTATTTGTAAGATTTATTCGTCTTTTGATTTCTTCGCTTGTTTTATTGGTAGCAGTCAATAGCCACCCAAGGTATGTGAAGTTGTCAACACGTCCAAAGGTATGACTTCCAAAGACTGTTTCTCGTTCCTCATTTGCTATCGGATCCTTTGTAACCAACATATACTTGGTTTTGTCTTCGTTGATGACTAGACCGACCTGTTTCGTCGCTGTTTCCAATTCTAGGAGATATTGCTCAACATCTCGCTTGCTACGCCCTACTATGTCAATGTCATCAGCATATGCTAAGACTTGTATCGATCTATTGTAAATTTACAATCGAGAACATTGCCAAAACATTTAACCGGGTCTGGCTTAGCGTGAATGGTAAATAGCTTTTAGTCTACGAATATTGTGATTTAGGCACATATTACCGGTTGTGGGTATATGCTGACCTAATATATTTGGATTATTTGATTAGAATGTGAATTGGTTACCCATTTGCCTAGTTGATTATACCTTTGGATATGCTACTCTATAAATTTGTTGTCCACTGGTTGATCAATTTTAATTTTAGTGCCCAATTCAACACTTAAATTGTTGTATATATATTTGCCATTTTTTTTTATTAGTTTTTGGATTATTTGATTAGAGTGGGAATTGGTTACTCATTTGCCTGGTTGATTATATCTTTGGATATGCTATTCTATAAATCTGTTGTCCAATGGTTGATCAATTTTGGATTTAGCACCCAATTCAATACTTTAACAAATTGGTTTAAATTGGTTTATATATGTTTAATTTTTTTTTATTGTTACTTATAATTTGTGAATCGGTCCACACCTCTGCCTGATTGATTATCCTTGGATATGCTATTATAAATCTGTTGTCTACGAATAGTCAATTTTGGGCTTTGTAACCAACTCATATCGACTGTCTTTCAAAAAGACTTTCAAACTTCGGAGTTTTATTATGACCTTTTCAAGGCTTAACCACTCCAAGAAAGATCCAAGAATCTTTCTGTATTTTGAACTAATTTATCAAAATGTTTCAAAGTAGGTTTCACAGCTTCGTGATTGTCACTTCATCTAGTGTCAGATAGCGGTTTAATATTTTGATTAATATAATTATTTAAGCGAGAAGTCTTAACTTAAGGGATTTTAGTATTTTGAATATATCTCAATATAATTATACCACAAGCCAACTAGTCGCACAAGATGGACTTTTTCTGTTTTATAAAACTCAAGATTTTTTTATTCTTTTTTCTTAAAATAATCTTAAAATTGTTTTTACATGTTTACAGATAAACCCAGTCCAAAAAACAATAAAAGAAACCTCAGTAACGATAGAAATACAGAAACTCCGGACAAAAACTCTCAACTTAACTACAAATCAACCACCAACACTAATACCACCCCAAATGAAAATGTTATTATAAAAACTAACAATATTACACCAATGGCAAATTACGATGGCATGAATTCTCCACAAATTAGATTAGAATTGGATAAATTTGGAATCAAACCTTTGAAAAGACGAAGAGGTATACAGCTGCTGAAATATATATACGATACAACGCACCCATTTGTGCAGGATGAAAATGTAGAAGAGGTATCTGAGGAAGAACAAACAAGAGAAGCTAAGAGGAGAAAATTATCCGATAAATTCGAAAGGACTGAGGCCATTAACATTGTTGGAAACTCTTTAATTGAAAGGTAATATAAGATAAAATGAAATTAGATTGTCGGATTAACACTTTGCGCACTTTTTAGGGATGATGTATGCCTGGTGCGATACAGTATTTTTGTAAAATTGCTTATGTATTTGTTGTGAGGAGGACAGTGCTAATATTTAAAATGATATATACAGGGCGTTAACTAATTTTTGACTTGCTACTCACATGTGCGCCAGTCGTTTTCCAGTTTTCCAATCAAAATAGTTAAAAATATTTTTTATAATTCAAAAAACTAAAAATTCATAATGTCAAACAAACTAAATTGTAACAATTGCATAACAAAAAAAAAACTAACTCTAAGCATGAAAATCAGTAAAGCATTTGCCAACACAAAAAAGCAAATTCATATTGGGGTTCGAAATCACATATACTTCATCTAATTTAGATAACGACTTACGTCATTATCTACGTCAGAGATCGAAGTTGACATAGTTGCCAAAGTATAAAAAAATCCTGACTCCATTTTAAATCAAATAGATTACATAATTATTGCAAAAGTATTACCATCTCTTTACAACGACTATTTAAATTCTTACGTGACATTTTTGAAATAAAACATACTAATTTTTTCTAAAAAGAACAGATTTTATTAAATAGTTAAAAATATAAAACAAGAGATATTCACTTTAAAATTCAAAATAATGAAGTACAAAAAGTGTCAACACCGCAACTGTCAAATAAGTGTTACTAATTTATGCCAAAATTTTAGCTTTGTTCGATTACAGTTACAGTGTGTTCCGAACAAATATGTTCTTGATAAAAACACTTTATAATGCATTTATACAAATTAAATGAAACATATTATTGTGTATTTCTTTAAGTTAACATTAATAGAAATTTTTAAATATTATTTCTAATCGTATATAATAAAATATGTCTAGTGGCTGTAATGCCAGTGTACTCGGTAAAGTGATTCTAAAAAAGAACACACCTACACCCTAAATATTTTGTGTTGGTATCATGTAACGTCACAGGCTATGACGCCGATGTCGTGCATCGTTATCTAAATTAGATGAAGTGTACACCAGCGTATGATTTGCCAATTAGACATGACCCTAACGGATTTCAAAATTGACAGTTCTCGGTCATACAGTGATTATTTTGAAATACAAAAGCCTAAAATAATTATGAACATTTAATAAATAATACAAAACATATCACATATCGTCATGAGGGGTGCCAAATCCGTTATGTGAATTTTTAAATTTTTTTTTTATTTGACAGTTCGATTCCATTTTTGCCGCTCTATCGATTGGTATTATCCGTTTTGTGAAATTCGACCTAGAACTTGCACTTGCTTATCCTTTATGTGTTACAGTCGTTATAACAAGATCCGTTATGTGTTTGAAATAACACATAACGGATTTGACAGTTCTTCATACCTAAGTGCACGACGCAAGAAATGTGTTCTCGTAGTGAAAAACTGTGTTAAAATAATTGAAAGCTTATCAAAACTACGTATTTTTCACATTAAAATCAGTGTTATAATAAATATAGTGGTAAGTACTATTTATTGTTTTCCTAATAAAACTAAGTAAGCACCTACTTAAAAACGACATCGCAAAACTAACCTCAAATTTATCCTTTTTGTGTGCATTGGCAGTGGGGTACTAAATCTAAACGTTCGATGTTCTTCCTAAGGTGCTATAAAACTGCAATGAGGCTTTTTTGCGTTACCGGCATATTGTTAAACATTAAAAGCTGCTGATATAATTCATTCTTTCTATTAACATTTTTGTCGCAACCTATTAGATTAGGGTAAGATTGGTAGGACGGATAGTAGCGATAAATTAATGAGGGAAGTGAAAGAAGAGTATATTAAAATGTGTAAATATTTACACACTTTAATATACTCTTCTTTCACTTCCCTGATTCATTCAAGTATGTACAGAATTTACCAGTCTTTCAACGATAAATTAATACCCTACCACAGCCAAGAATCTACTAAAAATTATATAACACCTTTTTATCACTGCTGTGTTTGGTAATAAAGAATTTCATTTTTTATGTATTTTGTTTTTTACAGGAACTATGAGTTCTGCTTCACAGCGATCCAGACTATTGCTAGACCTAGCAGTAGGTAGAAGAAGTATAGATTCCAATATCCCTTCAACGTCAAAGATATCAATTTTATCTGATGTTTCCATATCTGATGTTTCCATATCCAAATCTTATGATCCAACAAGCAAGAAACATACTTTTCACGGTACAGAAAATTGCCAATCTGGTGAATTGGATCTAGCTCCTATAAAAACGTCTCCTTCCAAGTATGCTCCATTTGGAGAGACAAAAAATGAGGTTAATTGTGGTGATCAGATTGATGTACCTACTTGTGAAGATTCGGAAGTTTTGGAGTTCACTTCAAAGCTCCCACCAAGCACTTGTTGTAATTCAAACCATATATTGGAAACCGGGTGCAATAGACACGTATTACCACAGATACCTACTGGTGAATTCATTCTAGATGCAGAGACTGGCATTCTCAAACTCGTAGATGTTAGAGAATTTGTCGACTCGAACAATTGTTACTTGGATGAAGTCAGTGGTCTATTTTTACCGAACGAACCATCTGAGGTACCTGAAAACTTCGATATTGACGATAGTAGCGGCTCCGAGACTTCCGATACTGAAAATGTTTCTAAAAATCGAAATAAAAATAAGATACAACGGGTTCTAGGTCAAAAATACAACAGCCGTAAAAGGAAATGCATTGCTGATGACAACAGTAAATCCAATTCTTACTATGACCTGCATACAGGAAGGTCTATAAAAAACAAACAATGTTTACATTCTGCAACCGCTAAGTCTGATAGGAGCTTTCTCTGCAGTTTGATATCAGAAGACAGACGGCAATCCCTCTTTAAATATTTCTGGTCTCTTGGTACCTGGGAAGCAAAGAAAGCATACCTCAAAAATCTTATCCGCATGCGCCCCGTGATTAGACGACGTAAAGAGTGTGTCACTGATAATCAGCATAAAAATTTAGCATTCGACTATTTTCTTCCAGACGACAAAAATATACCTGTAAGAGTCTGTAAAAACTTTATAATGCACACGTTAGACTTGCAGGCTGAAACCGTCACGGAATGGATCAAGACGTTTCAGGCGGAACAACCTGAAAATGGGACAAACCAAGACCTGAGAACTAGACATCAAAAGCGAACGACCAAGACAATAACGACTGTGACTAATAATGCAGAAAAGCAGCAATCTGTTAAGGAATGGTTAAATTTATTACCAAAAGTAAGCAGTCACTACTGTCGGGCATACACTAACAGGATGTACGTTGAAGATACCTTCGAGAGTAAGGCTCACATGCACCGGATCTATCTTATTTGGTGCCAAGACAACACGAAACCAAAAGCTAGCAAAAGGGTCTTCTACATGGTATTAGCATCAGAAAAGGTTTCCATCTTCAAACCTCGGAAAGACCAGTGCGATGTGTGTGTTACCTACAAAGAACGACATACATCCGAAGAAGATTACAAACTTCACATTCTGAAAAATAATGAAGCTATGATTGCTAAATCAGACGCTCTAAGCTTGACGGTCTTTTCAGACGTATTGGTTATTACTATGGATGTACAAAGCATCCTACTGTGTCCAAAAATATTAGTTTCTGTTCAATACTACAAGCAGAAATTGCAACTGCACAATTTTTCTATATACTTAAACAACACACAAGATGTACACCTATACGTATGGCATGAGGCGAATGGTGGAGTGACGTCCAATGAATTCACAAGCTGCATCGTAGATTTCTTAAAAAAGCAAACGGCATATAAAAAGTTCATATTAATTTCAGACGGATGTTCCTACCAAAACAGGAACAAAGTCTTGGCGTCTGCTTTGGCAAACCTCTCGAAGACCCAAAATGTCGAAATAGAGCAAATAATACTCGAAAAAGGACACACAATGATGGAGGTCGACAGTGTACATTCTACGCTAGAGAAGAAATTCAGGCCACCAATTTATGCTCCTGTCGACTATGTAACTAAAATGACCGAGGCCAGACCAAGACAACCATATAATGTGCATTATTTGGACTACACGTTTTTCAAAGACTATGAGAAGGTTTGCAATTATGACTCTATCAGGCCGGGAAAAAAAGCTGGAGACCCTACCGTGAATGACATCAGAGCTTTGCATTACACAGATGGTGAAATTTATTATAAACTACGCCAGCCAGATGACTGGCAGAAACTTCCTCAGCGTGTGCGAGTAAACAGTAATAGCTTAAAATCTCTGTATACTGAAGCTCGGAAAATCGAAGGTACAAAATTCGAGAATCTTCAATCATTGAAGCAATACCTGCACTCTGACTATCATGGTTTCTACGACAGTCTAACTCACCTTTAATTCTTATACCAAACTGATAGTGTCTGCTTTGTGTGTAACTGGAAATAAGTATTTTTATTGTTATGTGATTTTATATTATAAAGATTTTGATCTCGGAATTGGTTCTGATTAAATTTTTGCTATGAAAACATTGTGTAGTTTTTTTATAATTAATCTGAGGCAATTTTCTTGTAGATTTTAACACATAGTGGTCAAGTTTAGCGGTAAATTTAGCTACGTGCAAATCCTTCATGTGCGTACTATCACATGCAGGAGACTTATAATACCGAAAAAATCCGTTATGTGCAGATTTTGAGAAAAAAAAATTCTGGTGCCTTAGTTTTTTGTTTATATGTAAAAAATTTACATTGGATATATGCAAAAATATATAATTTAATTTTCGGCATTAAAATTTTTTTCATAGGAGTAGTAGAATAAAAATAAAACAGTATTTTTGCTCTCCTGAAAAGTTACCGTTTTTCACATAAAGGATTTGGCACCCCACATGACGATATATAATAATATTAATATATTATATATATATATATATATATATATAATATATATATATATATATATATATATATAAATATATAATATTAAATATATATATATATACAAAAGAAACATTTTTATTCTCGAGAGAGAAAGAGAGAGAAAATCTTCTGTATCTCCCTTACTCATCTTATCTTACATATGTAATGGTTTCACAGATTCACTCCCGTACAAATTTCCTACGTCGAGCGCGCGTATAGAAGTATAACTTCAATTACAATATCTTATACCAAATTTTATGAATTTTCTAATTTCCCTATAGATTACATGTAAGTCTACTCTTATTTGTCTGTAAAGAGTCAATGTTTACTGCCGTTTTTTTTGTTGTCAGTCGACCTTCATTAAACTCATAAATTCTGGTAAACACCACAGTTGTTTTTGACGATACCTCAAATGTTTCTCAGATTCAAATCCTAGTTTTGCGATTGTTGCGTACTGTAAAATGATATCGTAATTGAACAGTTCAATATTATTATCTTATGTTACTTTTTATTAACAGCAGAAATGTCAAATTTACGAATTTTTATAAATATGTCAATCATCTGATACCGACAGTGTTGCCACATCTCGAAATTAAAGCAGCAACTCTCATACAATTTTAATAATAAACCTTGTAGGTTGAGAAAATCTTTAATTGTAGAGGTTAGATCGTATTTTTACTGTTAGATTCACATATTATCATGAAATAAACACTGACATAATCGCTACAACTATTTATGTACTGTTTAGTAGATTATTGATGGCGTAAGATAATTTAATGTTTTTTTTTTTATTTTCCAGTGAGCAGGAAAGTGACTTATTATTCGAAAGAAAATTCAGAAAAACAATTATGTCTTGTCGAGTTCCGTTACAGCTAGCGTGGTACAATTTTTTATGTTGTAATCCGTCCCTTACAGAAAGTATTGTTTTATATGAGCCCATACAATTAGAAGTAATTCATTCAATGCTAAAAGAACAATCTGGATGCAATTTTCATGTTGAGGTAAGATAAAGGACTTAACCCTTATCCGGGCAAGGTGGGTCCAACGGACCCGTGACGCGACTTCTTTTATTATAAACTGATAAAAAAATATTTATTGAGTTTTATGCATTAATGAATTTGTTTAGAAGTATGTTTTCGTTAACTTAGTCATAAGCTATTCAAAATATTCGTTATCATTTTTGAAATTTAAGAGTCAAAAGAATTTTGTTACTTAAAGTGGCAAGACGGGTCCGTCGGACCCTGATTTTCGTTCATACCTGAAAATATATATCTTTGTTACAAAATTTAATCTGGCAGGCAGGTAATGTTTTTAGAAAATCATTTTGCGATTATAATCACTTATAATGATTCCGGGAATACAATAATACAATTTTGGGAAGCGATGTTCATGATAAATATTATACCTATTCTAAATGAATTCAGATAATGATTTTAGAAAATTATTTTGTGATTTTTCTAAACGAGTTTTAATACCTTATAACGATTCCGGGAACACAATAATACAATTTTCGGAAGATATATTTACGATAGGTATTATACCTATTCTAAATGGATTTTAATGATAATTATTCTTGGAATGCAATGATATTATTATTATGTATACACATTTTAAAATAAATAATGCATCTGCTGTCAGTCGTTTTATATCGTTGTTAGTGTCGACAACTAAGTTTCTAAGCTTATATTGAATTTCAGTGAAAGTAGAAAGTGTGAATAAAATGTTCCGAAAACCATTGTCAGATGCAGAACTGCAAGAGATTGCCAATAATATATGGGACTCGAATAATGAAGAATCTCTCGAAGTAGGTGGCACTGAAAGTGATTCTGAAATTGAAGATCATCTTTCGGAAGCAAGTGAAGAGAATGACCTACAAGTATTGAATGATCTTGAAGAAGAATGTGTAGGTACGAGTTCTCACGTTTCAGATTGTGTAGTTTTTGAAACTAAGGATGGAACTAACTGGAAGAGTCAACCACAACCGACAGGACGTATGCGAACCTGCAACATAATAAAAAGCAAACTCAACAAAGTAATGTTAGCCCCTGGTCAAAGTATAGATGAACCTGTTGATTCCTTTTCTTTGTTTGTGGACGAAAAAATTGTGAACGAAATAGTGAAGTGTACAAATAAAGAAGCCGAAAAAGTCCTGGGGATAGAGAACTAGAAATATTGCGATTCGACAGAGATATATGCCTTTATTGGACTATTACTAACTGCAGGACATCTGGGTGCCAACAACAATAATGTAGATGTACTTTGGAGTAAGTTTTATGGACCTACTATATTTAGGGCTACGATGGGGATAAAACGATTCAAAAATTTGCTAAGATTTGTTCGATTTGACGATAAAGATACGAGGCCTGAACGAAGAAGGGACGATAAATTAGCAGCAATACGCGACGTTTGGAATCAAGTCAACCAAAACTTTAAGAAATATTATTTACCAGGAAAAAACATAACGGTAGATGAGCAGCTTGTTCCGTATCGAGGAAGATGCCCTTTCAAGCAATATATGCCGTCTTCTTCTTCGGGTTCCTTCTCCTAGCGGAGGTTGGAAATCATCATCGCTATTTTAACTTTGTTGGCCGCATTTCTGAATAATTCTAATGAGCTGCAGCCGAACCACTCTCTCAAATTTCTTAGCCAGGACATTTTGCGTCGTCCTGGGTTTCTCTTCCCTTGTATCTTCCCTTGCATAATCAACCTCAGTAATACGTACTTCTCACCCCTCATTAAATGTCCCAGATATTGAATCTTTCTAATTTTAATAGTTTTTATGACTTCACATTCTTTCTTCATTCTTTGTAACACCTCTATATTAGTTACTTTTTCAATCCACGATATTTTATGCATTCTCCTGTAGCACCACATCTCAAAGGAGTTTAATTTTTTGATTTCAGACTGCTTTATTGTCCACGCTTCCATGCCATACAGTAAAGTAGAGAAGACGTAACAACGTAGCATTCTTGTGCGAATCTCTAGATTAAGGTTACGGTTGCAAAGTAATTTCTTCAATTTTATGAACGTGTTTCTTGCCATTTCTATTCTAGATCTGATCTCCTTTACTTGATCTCCATCTTCGGTTAGCCACGTTCCTAAATATTTATATGTTTTTACTCTTTCTATCGTTGTATTATTGATGATCAGGTTATTTACATTTTGTGGTTTTTTTGAGAATATCATTGATTTCGTTTTCTTGAGATTCATTTGCAGTCCGTAACTTTCACATGCATTGTATACATGTTGTATTATGTACTGTAGATCTTCCATGTCACTTGCAAATATGACAGTATCGTCGACAGTATGCCGTCAAAGCCAGATAAATATGGCATGAAAATATGGTGGGCCTGTGACTCGGAAACATATTACCCTTTAGGTGGAATACCATATACAGGAAAAAAGGAAATACAGTAGCAAAAGGTCTCGCATTTCAAGTTGTACAGGAACTCCTTGAGCCTTATTATAATTCCAACAGGAATGTGACTTGCGATAACTATTTCACTGATCTTGCTCTTGCACATAAATTACTAGCAAACTCACTAACTCTAGTCGGCACAGTGAAGAAAAATAAGAGGTTTGTTCCTCAGGAATTTCTTCCGAACAAGAACCGTTTAGAGAAATCTTCAATTTTCGGATTCACTCCAAAAGCATCTCTTGTTTCCTACGTTCCGAAAAAACAAAGAAGTGTCCTAGTCCTGTCTACTATGCATCACAATGCAAACTGTGAAGATGATGTTAACAAAAAACCAGATATGATACTTTATTATAATAGTACAAAATGTGGTGTCGATACGCTAGACCAAAATGGTTCATAAGTATATGTGCAAAAGACGGACAAATCGCTGGCCTTTTGCATTTTTTATAAATATTTTAGATGTGGCTGGAGTAGCTTCATTTATTACTTGGACAAATTTACATCCAAAATGGAACGAAAACAGAGATGAAAAGCGAAGGTTGTTTCTTACCACAACAGCAGAACAACTAGTGTTGCCTCAAATTATGAGAAGAAAATCAAGGGGACTACATCGAGAAACAAAACAGTGCATTGAAAAATGCTTAGAGGAAGTTTATCCAAACAATAAAAAACCAAGACTAGAAAAACCTCCAGTTTCAACAAAGAAAAGGTGTCATATTTGCCCAACAAAAAAGGACAGGAAACAGAAACAAATTTGTGAAATATGTAGTAGAAATGTGTGTAACGATCACTGTATAATTAAAAAAGTTTGTGAATACTGCAATAAAGAAAAATAGTTGATTAATCTATTGTTTTTTTTAATAATCTAGCCAATTTAAATATAACTTCAATAAAAAAATCAAAAAAGAATGTTAGAAATATACAAATATTAATATGAATAATATATTCAAGAACAGTGGGTCCAACGGACCCGAGTTGCCCGATTACGTCAGAAAAATATCTTGCCCGGATAAGGGTTAAAGAAGTACACGTGTAAGAACAAGTTTAATAGTTTTCTACCTAGTTCCCAGATAGTACTAGTTTATGTAGATCTCCAGCAGGTGGCGCCAGGAATAATATTGCATTTTTAACAAATTATCTTAATATAAAACTCTATATTATATGAAACATTTTTATTGTCTAATTTTATATTAATGTTCTATGTTTTTAGGATCTTATAACCTTTCTAGATAAAAAATGTATCACCTTCCGTACTAATCAATGGCAGGGAAGCAGAAAAAAAGCGAAAGAAAAAAGTTGATGATGGTTTTATTAATTTTTGTATAGTCAAATATAATTACAATGTAAAATATTTTTAAATAAACTTCAAGACTCTATTAATTTCTATAACATGGTCGTGTTATAAACAATTTTGTTATTGTCAATTTTAATTATTTTTATGTTATAAAATGTTTTAAATTAAACTTTATACATATGATTACCGTTTTATATTTCGTATGTGATATTGAGCTCAGTGTTCGCCACATTTTACTGGAGTGTCCTCGTGTTGTAGTAAATGACGTTGCATAAAACACAAAATATTTAAGTCGTAGGTATGTTCCTTCTTAGAATCTTTTAGCTAAGTACACAGGAATTACAGCTACTATAGTAGAAGCCACAGTTAAAATGCAGTGCAGGTAATATAGAGAATGTATTTCTTACCGGAGAACGGCCAACCACGTTGTCGGTTTAATCCGAACGGCGCATCAGGACCGAATTTAAGAATTATCGTTTCAACTCATTATCGTTTCAACAAAAGCATGATTCAATCATCGATGTATAAATAAGATAGTTACATTGTCGAACTAAACAATAACATGAAGAAAAATACTATAAAAAAAGTAAAATATATCAAAAACTCATTGTCTTATCTATATTTATTTAGATTTATCAATTTTCAATAGGTTTCATTGCAAACATATCTTTGCGAAAGAAAGATCATTATATGAGGCGTTCAGAGCCGTAGTGGATTAAGTCCACTATTTACGAAAATTAAGTTAGCGGTTCTACAAATAGAAATCTTTTCGGTACTATAACAGACCACGTCCAAACAGATAGCGTTAGTTTACTATGTCTTTGAACAATATGTCATTATTTCGGGATGGAGTGGATCAAGTCCAGTTGACCAGTCAGATTGTGCTCAGTGTATTTATCGTGATCGTTTATGATTAAAAATGGATTCAAAAGACGACATTAGTAATTTATCTGCATCATCATCTGATAATTATATACTCCAGATTAACACTCGTCTGCAGAATCGGAATTAGCCAAATGTGATCAACTGTCTTTAAAAACTGCAGCAACTGAACCCGAGACATTGAATTCACTTATTGTTGAGCAAAATGTTCACATAGCAAAAGCAAAACAAGCTCGAGATGGCGCATCAGATGAACACAGTATTATAACTTTTGACCTCCAAAACCATTGCATTACCTATGTATGTCAATAACCTAGGAATTCATTCCTTCAACAAAAACAACGGTTTTATGTATGTGTGAGATGAAACAAATGGTGGTAGAGTATCTCAGGAAATATCTTTAATATTAACCATGCATCTGAGAAAACATACCAAAAATCAACCACGTAACCCTCTATTCAGATTCATGTACTACAAAACAGAAATTTTAAAGTGGTTGCCCCGTTACTTAATCTTGTTCAACATGCTTACATAAACATAAGAACGATAGATCACAAGTTTCTTGTATCTGCCACTCCTTTTTGCCAAACGACCGATATTTTGGGGTTATTGAAAAGGCTACCAGAAAATCTTCTCACGTCTTTGGGCCAGACGACTGGATTGATGTAATAAGAACTTCAAAATTGACAGTGCCTTTTGAAGTATCGAAGACGTCTCAGATTGTGAAAAACTCCAAATTGATATTAACAAAATTATGGCATGGTGCAATTGGAACCAAATGAGCATTAATGTTGGAAAATGTCACTGTATTAGTTTCTGTAGAAGAATTAACAACCTCTCTTATAATTACAAATTAGCTCAAGAACCACTGAAGGCTGTCTCAACTGTAAGAGATCTAGGTGTTCAATTAGATTCCAAACTAAATTTTTTGCGCTCATTTTGATTATGTGAGCTTCATTATTAGAACCTCTAGATGTTTGCATAACATTAATTCCATCAGACTGATTTACATTTCCCTAGTTAGATCAGTTCTTGAGTATTGCTCAGTCGTTTGGTCACCCACTTATGAAGTCCATATAGCCAAGCTTGAAAAAGTCCAAAATAAATTCATTAGGTACTTAAGTTTTAAATTAGACAAACCTTTAAGCGACCATTCCTACTCAGAAATTAAAAATACATTAAACCTTCCTAGGCTATCTTCCAGGCGGATGTATGCTGATGTTTTGTTTCTTCATAAACTACTGAATTCAAAAATTAATTGCAATGATCTACTGTCTCTAATTGACTTTAATGTTCCCTCTAGAGTTACTAGAACATCTCAAAATTTTGCAATTAAATTTCATCGCTCTAACTTTGGTAGGCATTCTCCACTGAGTAGAATCATTCTAAATGGAAATAGAATAGACTTTGATTTGTTGCTGTGCGCTTCGGAAAATGTCTGTAGAATGTGTTTAAAAAAAATTTTGTAATTTTATGTGATTTATATTTGCTATGTGCTTTATATAATTTTAATATTTGTTTTTTTAAATTTTTTTTCTATATAGCTGCATCGCCAATTCTTTTCATACATATTTACTATATTTTTATAATTATTGTATCACTAGATATACTTGTAATACTTTGTGTATATATTAAATTGTATTAAATAAATAAATAAAAAAAAGTAACTAACATAAAAAGGAGCGACATTGTGTCGACAAAGAACATAGAAGATGTGCTTGTCAATAGAGAAAAAGATAGTGATGGAGCACCTGTGAAGTGGTTAGAAATGAGATGGATGAGGTACGAGAGAGAAGATCCTTGGATGTTGAAATACAAACCTACGCTGAATGAAAATTTTCCGTTTTTTACTGTCTCGATGGCCAAAACAAATGTCTCAAAATTCATTGGTAATCAAAGTCATCTGTACTCCACACCTAGACTCCCGACAGAAGCAAAGAAAAAGGACATGCTATTTCTCTTCCCATATCTGCCATCAGTCACACACTATAATTTTAAAAATCTCAGCATCAACACAGGAACCCGTTCACGAATCTCGCAACAGGGTGAAGAAGACGACATAGGAGATCATGAACTGGTCTATGATGATGAAAACTAATGCCACCTAAGCTGTGAGAGTATTATTGAACATTGTTGTAATAAGTTCTTTTTTTTTGTTATTATTTTTTTGTAACTAAAATTCCAGTTATTGTTCTGAAGCTATTTTCTTTGTGGCATTTTAAATTAATTACTATTTAACTGGGAATAAGCCACAATTAAAGATAAAAATACGTTTATTGACGTTTCAATTTCCACTTCGGAAATCGTTCTAAAAAATACAAACAGTAAATAAACGTATTTTTATCTTTAATTGTGGCTTATTCCCAGTTAAATAGTAATTAAGATTCCAGTTTTGTTATACTTCGCTTTTTAATCCATTTTTTCCACCAAATATTTCAGAGTAATAATGGATCAAGTCCAATTTTTTCAAGAGTCAAGTTTCAGAAAAAACAGTTTTCCAGTCCAATCCACGTGCGAATTCTTACGATAAGGGAGTGAAATCTCGAATAAGAAAAATTGTCTATGATTTTTTTTTGTAAAACACCACCAACCGTCGACAGAGTGAAGGATAATGAGGACCTACCAGCTTTTTCAATAACCACATGTTGTAGGCTACTAAATGACATGGGTTTTGAATATGGTCAAAGAAGTCGAGATTCGATAATGATGGGAGAAAAAATATCATATACAAATAAAAACATTGCGGAAGACGGATAATGTAAACCTTTTTTTATACCTATGTGTCTTGGACTAACGTCGGTGCTTCAGTCAAAAAGGAAAGGAGGGACACAACGATCAAGAATCCACAAGATGCCTTCATAAAAGCACTCTCCGACTGGACTAAAAGCTCCAACCCAAAGAGGTCCTCGGTTTGTTCTTCTTCATGCTGGAAGCGAAAGTGGTTTTGTGGCATGGGCCGAATTAACTTTCTTGGCCAAGAAGGGAACCACTGATTACCATGAAATGGACGGGGATCTATATGAAGAATGTTTTGAGATGACGTTAATTCAAAACTTGCCGAAATACAATGAAAACGTCGTTTTGATAACGCGCCATACCACTCCCGCAAATTTCCCGAAAAATTGTGAAACAAAAGGCAAATCAAGGGTTGGCTAATCGAAAACAACATTTTCTTCGACGAAGATTGCCTAAAAAGTGAATTGCGGCACACTGCGGCTGCATTTAGAGACGAGTACGACAAGTACAAAATTGAAACAATTGCGGAAAAATGTGACGTTAAGATTTTGAGACTGCCGCCTTACCATGGCGAGCTGAACCCGATTGAGATGGTGTGGTCAAGTGAAAAGTTATGTGGCTTCAAAAATCGATTTTAAAGAAAGGAACGGTTGATAAAAGAAGCTTACCAACATGTATCTAAAGATTAGTGGCATAATTATGTGAACCATGTCAAGAAAATATATATTAATATAATATATACTATCTTTATATTAAGTAAACAATCGAATTAGTTTTCAATATCGAAACAATATATGTATAAAAAATATTTATATACACAATTTTTCCATTTTTATCAACTAATTATAATTCCATGGTAATGTCTACATTTTTTTACAGCTCTTACATCTCGATGTTTAATTTTTGGTCTAAAAAATATGAAATGTGAATTGCATATCTTTAGGTCTTCAATTTCGTCTTTTGACATTGAATTTGAAGATTCGATAAAAAAGAAGTAGAAATTGACTTTGACAATCTTTCATTTAGCATTGTTTGTATGGTGATTATGTGCATATAAATTTTTGAAGATCATTGGAATTAAGGTAAAATATACATTGATTCGTTATAATTTGCATTAATCTCGTACTTTTTAGACTTTATTTACACAAAAAATGGCTCTCAAAGTTACGTCAACTCTTCTACGCAGCATGAGCGTGCCTGCAAGGCTTTCTGTTGCTTGTTACCATAAAAACGTTATAGAACATTACGAGAACCCCAGGAATGTTGGATCTTTGGATAAAAACGATAAAAATGTTGGAACTGGTTTAGTCGGTGCACCCGCTTGTGGTGACGTAATGAAACTGCAGATTAAAGTTGATGACAATGGCAAAATCGTTGAAGCAAAGTTTAAAACATTTGGTTGTGGTTCTGCCATAGCTAGCAGTTCATATACCACAGAATGGGTAAAAGGCAAAACTGTAGATCAGGCGCTTAAATTAAAAAATACTGACATCGCAAAGGAGCTGTCTTTGCCTCCAGTAAAGCTGCATTGTTCTATGTTGGCAGAAGATGCCATTAAAGCTGCTTTATCAGACTACAAAATTAAAAATCAAAAGAAGGAGGCTTAAGGAGAGAGAACTGGAAACAATGTGATAAGTTGGTACTAGTTATGTTATGTAAATAGTTTAAAATGAAATAAATACTCTTCAACAATCAAATATTTGTAGTTTTTAATTCCGATTCACCTTTTTCCTACTGCACAGAATGGAATAACCTTTTGTTGTTCTGTAGTTAAGCACTTAAAGATTATTGAAGCACTAATGAGGTTGCATCAAGGTAAATATAAACATTTTTATCTTTAATCAGTTTAATTAATATTTCAAAAAGTATTTACATGCTACTTGATAAGGGATTTAAAATATTGTTCTTTTTTATTTATTTATTTTTCTCAGCAATATCATTTTAAAGTTGTCTACTTTAAAATGTATAATATATGTCTGAATTCTCAATATAATTGAGTCAGATAAAATTAAATTATTAGAAAAATTTTTCACCAAAAACAAAATTTGTTTAATTTTTTAATGTTCATATTTTGAGAACGATTTCCGAAGTGGAAATTAAAAAATAAACTTATTTTAAACTTCTATTGTGGCTTATTCTCATTAAAATTTTAATTGAATTAAATTATTTGTCATCATACCTACTTTCAGGTTTATCATAGACGGAAATAAAACAATTTATTGTTTTCTGAATGAAAATTGTAAATGCATCAAAGAAAATTTTCTAAAATAGAGGAACAGAAGATTCAGACAAGGTATGGAATGAGCTAAAAATGATATTGCACAAATTTGAAGAAAGCTTCAAAAGGACGCAACAAACAGCAAATAAAACCTGGATGAGTTAATGGATAAAAAAGACAGTACAAGGACATAGACAATAACAAATATAAGCAAAACAGACTGATACAAATAATTAAAGCAAAAGAAAATTGGATGCTAGAGATGTGTGAAGAATTGAATTTTTACAAAAAAAAGATGTGATGATCTGTAAGAAAATTAAAGAAAAATAACTAACAATGTACTGTACAAGTGCAGACAACAAAATCATTAACAAAAATAGGAGTGTTGGAAGGAGAATGGAAGCAGACATTCAGGTAACTGAACAAAGTATAAACCAGTATATAAATTACCAAAATGACTTCCCTGTATACTCCAGTGGTCAGAGACGAAAATGCCGGTGAATCTCTACAAGTCATACAAGCTGAATTTTGCTGAGAATATCAATGTTTGGACCCTGAAAAAGATGCAAAAAATTATTCGAAAGATGCTTAAACAGAGAAGAAGTTCCACAAGAATGGAGACAATCATATATCTCTCCAATACATAAGAAAGGCACAAAGACGGATCCTAAAAACTATAGAGGGATTGCAATGATTGCTACTATGGGCCGACTATACTCAAAAGTACTACGAAACCTGGTGAGATTTAGGATGGACGCTCCACTATAGATAATATTTTCACAATAAAAATTGCAATGGACAAACAAGTGCAGAGAAATAGAGAAACCCATATAGCAATAGATTTGGAAAAAGCATATGACAGTGTACCGATCTCCCAACTATGGATAAGAATGGGTAACTTGAAAATAAACCCAATTCTTATTAACGCCCTTAAAAAATACTACGAACAAAACTTTGCAAGAATTAAAATGGGACAAGAAAACACCTCTCCTTTTCAAACAACAAAGGGACTAAGACAAGGCTGCTGTCTGTCGCCCACCTTATTTAAAATCTATTTGGATAGATCCTTAGTGAAATGGGTAAAAAAATGTAGAAACATGGAATAACAGTGGAAGAAAACATGCTATATACACTTTTCTTTGTGGATGACCAGGTAGTAATTGCTGAAGACAGCTACGATCTTAGCTATATGGTAAGAAAACTACAAGAAGAATATGGGGTGGCAGGTCTAAACATGAATATGACAAAATGTGAATATCTCTCAGTGGGAACAGATGAAATATGTGACCTAGTCTTGGAAGACAATACATCTGCAATATTTGGGGTCATTTTCAGCAAAGGAAATCACATCATCAATGCGCTACAGCCTATGAAAGCCTCGACCTTCCAAGCTATACGCCAGGCAGTCCTATCATTGCCAACCGTTGCCAGTTTGCTGCGCCTACTTTCACCATCCTATCTACAGAGGAGGATGGTGTAAACTCAGATGGAAGGATGGTGTAGATGAGAAGGGAAATAGCGCAGATGAAATTAGAGAAAGAATATACAAGGGCAGAGCAGCGACCCGTGCCTTAAACTCTCTTCTCTGGCAAAAAACAATTCGACGAGAAACCAAAAATCACATTTACAGTAGTATAGTCCAAAGTATTACACTTTATGGTTCGGAAGTATGGGAAGTCACCAAAGCTAATAGAAACAAACTTATGACGACAGAAATGGATTATCTGAGACGAAGCTGCGGTAGATCGAAACTGGAGAGAGTTAGAAACGAACAAATAAGAAACGAAATATCAATGATGACATAGAAAGAAAGCAATTAATATGGTTCGGACCGTTGGTTCAAGCGCTGTTTTTAAGAAAACGGTTCATGCTACACAAAAAATGCTTGTAAACATTCTTGTTTAAATTTATCTCAGCTAAATTTTTTATTTGAAACATTTTTTTCTACGGTGTACTGATTCTTGGTAAATCGATTTTTTTTGTGTTTTTATCCTCTTGAGAAGGGAGTTTTAGGGGGAGGCCCGGGGGTAAAAGTTGTAAACTTTTTTGCATATTTTTTGAGGTCTCTGCAAAATTCAGCTTGTTCGTCTGATTTTTAGGGGTCAATTCTCTGACGACTGGACTAGTACTAAAATCAGAAATAAAATATCGATATCTATCGTTTTTTTCATTGATATTTTCACACACACATAGTTTTCAGATATCTCTGCCTGTCACTTTCAGAAATTTGGATCATCAGCAAAAAATATTGTTTTCATTTGTGTTTGATTGATTTGTATATTATATTGGCTATGATTACGCCTGCTTGGTTGTATAGTAACTTCCAATCACTTTTCGATGTCAAAATTTAACCAATATAGCACAAAATTAATGACTAGATTTACTAGTAAATTGGGGTTGGGTGAATAGAGTAGATAATTTCGTAGCTGCATTTCATCATCCTCGGTGAGTATTTTCTACGGTCTTTTACACACGAACTATTTCACGATTGCATGTTTCAGACACACTTTTCTACAAAATAAATTATTTAGAGCTTCAAATTATGTATTTATTTGATTAATATATTAATAAAATAACATATCACAGTACAAAATAGATAGAAATATAAAAATACCTAAAAATATCGATTATGATATAAATATCAGGTATATAAAGAAAATAAAAACTTCAATGGCATCTTGTCTTTGGGATTGCAAGCAAAAACATTAATAAAGTTTTTATTTCTCAATTTAACTGGTGTTCTTCCCATAAAAGGTAAAAACTATTGTGTAAATTAGTTTTCAATAATGGAATTCAAAAATGTTGTTCCATTAATTAATTTGGTAGTACCGATTACAAATTCAACATTTGAATCTTCTTGCGTAGATAAAAATCTCAGAGCAGATATCTGAAACGAATAAAGTAGTAATTTTTGTTAACAGAAATACACATTGTGTAGTTACCTCTGCAAATGTACATCCACCAATAAAGAATACAAGAACTGTTTGTGGTGAATCTGTATTTATTATCGTGTTCACTGATCTGGTTTCATCTAAAGTTGGACCTACAATTAAAAAAAATATTTTCTTAAATAAGTATATGGATCACACAAAATTTCAAAACAAAAGTAGATTTGAAAAAGACTGATATGTTTTTGTACTCATTTATGACAAATAAATCAATGGAAATGAAAAGTTTTTGTTCGAATTTTTCAAACAACTTTCAGATGAACTATGTAGCATGCATAAATTCTTTTTAACCATCGAATATTTAAAGCATAAAATTTATCTGGTATGCTCCTGCACTGTTTAAAATTTCGTGTGTCTTTGTTTACATTCCACAAAAGTAATAAAAATATGGTTATATGTTTATGTATTATTTCAGCAAATTTTAAGAGCTAGGGATGATCAAGGTCAGTTACGATACGATGTGAAGCGTGTTTGAAAAGAATTCCAATTGAGTAGTTCCTTGGACTGATATGAGGAATGGGGTGCCAGAGAGGAAGCCCGGTACGGCGAGAGCATCAGGTCGAAGTGAATTCAAGTTTTAGGTTTAGGAGAATCTTTGAAGAGATTATTATTATTATAACATAAGCGAGGGCAGAGGAACCAAGTCCCTATTATGCCCAAAAACAAAGAAATTTCATTAATCACCTACTAGTAAATAACAAAAATTACAAATTAAAGAAATAAAATTACAATTTTACGGTTTAAAAGAAAAACAATATTTTAACTATAATATAAAACGGTCAAGTCTGTTTTTGAACGAATTGGTAGAACGAGCGGAGACAATGTTATCGTTAAGGCTATTACAGCACTCAAAAACTCTATTTGGAAGAAAGTTCTGTCTTGGTCTTATAGAAAAATTTTCTTTCTTTAGTTTGTACTGATGACCTCTGAGGCGTTCATCTTGATTTATGATAAATATTACATCGAGGTTTCCAAAATTGAATTTTAGTATTTTAAATGTTGTAATTAAGTCTCCACGTTGTCGGCGAAGTTCAAAAGTAGTTAGGTTAGCCATACTAAGTCTTTCTGCATAAGACGGTCTTCTCGGTCCCAAAGAAATTCGAGTGGCTTTTCTTTTAACGTTCTCCAACAAAGTCTTGTCTCGAACCAGATCAGGATACCACGTTGGTCCAGCGTATTCAAGTATGGGTCTTACGTACAGAGTATAAAGTTTACAGAATGATTGCATTGAAACTCTCGAAAAACACCTCCGAATAAGATACAGTCTGAAGTGTGCACGTTTACAAATAGGGGTAATATGGTCGGACCAAGTTAGGCTGCTGTTCACGATAACACCAAGATCGTTATACGAAAACCCAGATTCTAATGGGTGCCTGTTAACAAAGTACGGCACAAGTGGGTTATTTTTACCAATTCGAAGCATTACACATTTTCCGCGTTTAAGGGTAGTAACCACGTGGGTACCAAGTTAAAATAGAGTCCAAGTCCATTTGGAGGGTTAGCTGGTTTGTGATTGGATTGGCATATATTTTTGTGTCGTCAGCGTAGAACGATATTTTACTTGAGATATAATAAGGAATATCGCTGGTGTAAACCGTAAAAAGGACAGAACCCTGAGGCACTCCACTTTCCACTAACCTGTCCTGTGAGAAAGATTCGCCAACTCTAACTTTGTAATATCGATCTGTCAGGAAATCATCTATCCAACGAAGTAAAGTACCGCGAACTCCGAAATGTTCTAGCTTATGTAGAAGTCTGCGCTTAGGTACACGGTCAAAGGCTTTAGAAAAATCTAGATAAACAACGTCGACCGGCTGCGAACTGTTAAGGGATGACGTCCAGTCGTTAACACAATGTAGGAGATTGATTAGAGCAGAGCGAACAGAGACAAATCCATGTTGTTGTGTTGGAATAACATGTTCCTGGAGAAGGAATTTGGTCATCTCCTCGGAAATAATGGCTTCCATAACTTTGCTAACTACTGGCAGCAAGCTAATCGGACGATAATTGTTGGGGTCGAGTTTGTTGCCTTTTTTAAAAATAGGGGTAACGGAAGCTAATTTCCAACTAGGGGGTAAGGAGTTCTGGATAAAGAAGTTTGCATAATTAACGTTAAGGGTTGTTAAGGGTTGTTGTAACGTTAACGTTGTTTTAACTGGAAAGTTTTTATTTGATTTGTATGCATATCATCGATGACGCATGGGTAATCTTTAATTTATCCTACTTCCTGAAACTTTGATTTTTAGAACTTGTTTAGATTAGCGTTAACAGGATGCATTTATTATAAAAAGTAAACAAATAAAAAAAGTTTCCTACCTGGCAATAAACCTAACACATCCTGTAACTGTTTAGTTCCTCCAGCTTTAGTTACATGTTCCACTAATCTGATACTCATAGGAGCGTATATACTATGAACGTAACTAATATCTGTGGGATTAATTTCGGAAGTGTTTTCCATGGTTAAACTTAATGCTTTTCTCAGAACAGTATATTGTCTGGTACTAGATTGAAGTTTCAATAGTCCAACTTTTTCCAATTTCGATATTGCCAGAAGAGCCTCTAGGCCGTAGACCTAAAACAATGAAAATATTTAAAAGTTAGTCCATTATTAATACTTTAAAATGGAAAAATGATGAAAATATATAAGGCGAACCATTCTAAATAGCTTTCACAGAAGGTACATTACTCAATAAGACTTGGGGACTTAGTTTTATAGGGTTGTATATCAATAAATAAACTGGTGCATGGGAACATCAATTCTGTAAATTTGGTAACGTTAATTTGCTACAAAAATGTCTGAATTAAAAGCTTTAACTTTATTTTTCTTAAAAAATTGTAAATTTTAGATCCTTTGTGGACCTATGTCTCCCATTATTGTAAGTTTTTATAAAAAAACAAGATGAAAGGGGAACTTACCTGTACTAGATCTCTTTTATAGCTTTCCAAAATTTTGGGTTTTAATCCAGAACTTGCGATACACTGTAAACACATTAATCTTAACACTTTCACCATTGGTTTGCTTTGGGCGATCATTTCTTCTATATAAGCACTTGGTTTGTCTACTTCTATGCAGTTTAAAAATTCCTGTTCCGCCTAAAAGTAAAAATACAGTACAGTACAGGGTTGGAACTCCAAGAAATGAACAAAACAATGCATAGATTTTGCAATGCTTCAAAAAGCTTTGTCTTTTTACCATAGTTGATTGCCCAGAAGCTAGACAATTATGAACTTACATATAATATAGAATATAAAAATAACTTATATATTGTTTGCTCAACAATTGAAGCTAATTTTCAGAACAAATTTTCGGTAAACATGTGGCGTGATATGATCAATTGTTATTTAATTGGCCCTTTCATATTTGATAACCGCCTTACAGGACAGGGGTAATTGAATTTTTTACTGAATGATCTGCCAGGAACCCTACAAAACGTTCGTCTAAACATCAGAATGCAAATATATTATCAGCACGATGGAGGCTCGTGAACATTGTTCTCTTCAGGTCAGGCAACATTTAAATACAAAATATCCAAGGCGTTGGATTGGTTGCAGTGGTCCTATTAGTTGGCTTCCAAGGTCTCCAGACCAGACACCATTAGACTACTTTTATGGGTTATGGGTCTGGTTCAAAAATGAGGTTTACAAGGTAAAAGTCCTAACTAATTAAATAAATTTCTATATTAACTACAAACCTGTAATGTATCCAAAAAATCATAGCCATCTGTGATTTCCTTAATACATTCTGCAATTGCTGTATGTGTTGCCAGTTGCTTTTTCTTCGCCAAAATTTGAGGAAGTCTTTGTACATAAAGCTTCATCTCCTGGACTGACTTTTCCTGTGTATTTTCCATCTGGGCACTGATTGCTTTAGCTTCTTTTGAAAGATAACCGCCAACCTGTAAGTATCATAATAATATTTATTTATTTACTTGCTGTATCAAAAGATATTAATAAAGTTGAACAAACGGAGCCTATTAAGATACGGCGAGGAGTCAGACAGGGTGACACTATATCACTATTCAATCAAGCTTTAGAAGACGTTATGAGGAAATTACAAAGGGAAAAACGGGGTATTCACATAAATGGCCAATACTTGAATTACTTGAGATATGCAGACGACATTGTATTAATAACAGATAAAAGGGAAGAATTACAAAATGTGATGGATGAATTAAATAGCGAATCAACAAAAATAGGTCTACAAATGAATTATAATAAAACGAAAGTTATGACCTTCTTCTCTTCTTCAGATGCAAATCCACTAATGGATGTTAGCGATCACATTTTCCATTAACTCTCTATTTCTTGCAATATGTATCAGAGATTGTATGTCGTTAATCCCTGTCCATTGCCTTATGTTTCGGAGCCAGGACATTTTCTTGCGTCCCATTCCTCTCTTGCCTTCAATTTTACCCTCGATTATAAGTTGGAGGAACTGGTATTTTTCATTTCGCATGATGTGACCTAGATACGCCGTTTTCCTTTTCTTGATGGTTTCGAAAAGTTGGCGTTCTTGGTTTATTCTTTTAAGGACATCTATATTTGTGATTTTCGCTGTCCATGGTATTTTTAGGATACGGCGATAAAGCCACATTTCGAAAGCTTCCAATCTGTTTATATCTCTCGTTTTGAGTGTCCAGCCCTCTACGCCATATAGCAGCACTGACCATACGTAGCACTTAGTAAACCTTAGTCTCAGTTGAAGATCGAACTCAGAACAAGTCAGTACCTTCTTGAATTTTACGAAAGCTTGTCGAGCTTGCTCAATGCGACATTTTACTTCCCTGTCCGATGCCCAGTCTTCAAAAAGCCACGATCCCAGGTATTTAAATTTACTCACTCTTTCTATGGATTTACTATTCAGTGTTATGGTGGAGTTTTCAAATGCATCCAAGTTTCTGGAGATGATCATGAATTTGGTCTTTTTGGTATTAATCTCTAGTCCCATTCGCTCACTGTATTCTCCGATTATAGTGACAAGTTGTTGAAGATCGACTATGTTGTCACAAATTAAGACACCATCATCAGCATATCGTATGTTGTTGATCAATACTCCATTCACCTTGATTCCCATCTCTGCATCCTCCAAAGACTCTTGAAATATGGCTTCTGAATAAATGTTAAATAAAAGAGGGGAAAGCACACATCCCTGTCGAACGCCTCTTCTTATATGTATGGGCTTAGATATAGAATTGTCTATTTTTAGCTGTGCCGTTTGATGCCAGTACAAGTTTTCAATGCATCTTATGTCTTTTTGGTCTATTTTTGGTCTAAGTTATGACCAACCAACCAAAAGAATTAATAATTAAAATTGCACAAACAACTATAGAACAAATTTATAGTTTATTCGTCTTCCGGGTTTGGACCGTGTCATTTGTGAGTGACCCAAAAGTGGGTTCATCTCGACGTTTCGCTACAATTGTATGTAGCTTCTTCAGGAGAACAAAGAAAAAGAAAACAAAAGACAGGAAGATGGGTAGTTAGCAACGGTAACTCAGTTACTCAACGCAACCAGAGGCGAATACTAACTACCAAGATGGGCATTTGGTCACAGTAACTCAACGCAGCCAGAGGTGAAAACCAAATGCCAGGACAGGGATTCACGTCCAACAGCTCAGAACACTAACGCGTCGATAGGCGGGGAGTGAATCCGACGATTACTCCGCAGACTCCGCTACCGCTCTATTTATAGTCGCGGTGACCTGTCGTGTCGGGACGTATCGGCACACTTCGTGGCGCGAACGTCAAGAAGCGCACGCTGGCCAATCATGTGGCTGCATCGTGGTAGCGGGACCGGACTGCGGCTCTAACTGAGATTCCAGATGGGAGACAAGTAGTATCCTTCCTCTCGATTGATATTATGTGGATTTTTTCGGATCTATAGAGATTCGCGGATTTTCCTGGAATAAAAGAAGGGGCTCTTAGGAAAGGAAAATCCGCGAATCACTAGAGATCCGAAAAAATCCACATAATATCAAACGAGAGGAAGGATACTACTTGTCTCCCATCTGGAATCTCAGTCTAGAGCCGCCGTCCGGTCCCGCTACCACGATACAGCCACATGATTGGCCAGCGCGCGCTTCTTGACGTTCGCGCCACGAAGTGTGCCGATACGTCCCGACACGACAGGTCACCGCGACTATAAATAGAGCGGTAGCGGAGTAATCATCGGATTAACTCCCCGCCTCTCGACGCGTTAGTGTTCTGAGCTGTTGGACGTGAATCCCTGTCCTGGCATTTGGTTTTCACCTCTGGCTGCTTTGAGTAGTTGAGTTACTGTGACCAAATGCCCATCTTGGTAGTTAGTATTCGCCTCTGGTTGCGTTGAGTAACTGAGTTACCGTTGCTAACTACCCATCTTCCTGTCTTTTGTTTTCTTTTTCTTTGTTCTCCTGAAGAAGCTACATACAATTGTAGCGAAACGTCGAGATGAACCCACTTTTGGGTCACTCACAAATGACACGGTCCAAACCCGGAAGACGAATAAACTATAATTCTGACTCTGGCCGTGGAAGCCTACGATTTCATTTAACTATAGAACAAGTAAAAGAATATGTATATTTGGGACAACTAGTTAAATTAAATAAAGAAAATCAGACCGGAGAAATAAAGAGAAGGATATGGTTGGCTTGGGTATCCTTCGGAAAACTTTACAATAAAGTAAAAAGTAGAAAATATCCCCAATATTTAAAAAAAGAGTCTTCAACCAATGTATACTTCCTGTTCTCCCTTACGGTTCTCAAACTTGGACGTTTACAAAGGAAAACATGGAAAAAATAGCAAAGACCTAAAGAGCAATGGAAAGGCAAATGCTGAACATCAGGCTATCAGACAAGAAAAAAAATACTTGTATCCGCAACAAAGCAAAAGTATCAACCGATGTATCAACGCAGATAGCAAAACTTTAGTGGAAGTTCGCTGAACATACCATAAGACAGAAAGACGACAGATGGAATAAGATGATTATACACTGGAGACTATATAGTTACAAACGAAAAATATATTATACTTAGTGATAGGGTATATTATACTTACAGCATTAAAATTTTTATCGCGAATATCAGCAAAAATTTTGTCAGTTGAATCTAGAATCAGTTGTTTCTTATCTTCTGATAAGGATTCTGTAGTTCTTTCTTCAGTACTTAAAAAATTATCGATTGGGAAATAGGCAGTTGAATTATTTATACCGAAAATTTCATCAATTAATCCTTAAAATAAAAATAGTTCTGTTAATATCTCAGAATAAAAATTTATATCATCAACATTAGAAAAAGACAAATTTACCTTCATAAGTTAACTGTGTAGCTAAAGGTGTGATTAAATCAACAGACCTATCAATTAATATGATTTGATCAATACAGGACTGTTGATTATTTTTCATATCTTCACTGTTGTTCTTTTCTCTTTGTAGTCTTACCACAAGATCCCAAACTTGCTTAGCAGCGTTTCCCTTGCCCCAAACTTTAGGAATAGTTCCATACATTTTTTGAAGATATATTATAGCTTGTGCTGTTTGGTACAAATAGGTGGGATCATTTTCAATTGTGTATTCCCTAAAAATATTAATCAATGTTTTAAAAAGAATGAATAAAATGAGAATAAGTTCCTTACTTAGAAAATAACAAAAAATTAAATGTTAAATATTCAATATTTAGCATACTTCAAGATTCAGTAAAGATACACAAAGTAAATGTGAAACTCTAACTGTTGTAAAAATATCTACTGTTCCCTTATTAGGTCGGTTTTGGAATATGGTAGCAATATTTGGTCTCATTACAGAAAGAGTACAGAATAATTCTTAAGATTTATTGCTTTTAAATTGAGAATACCTGTAAATAAAATTGAATACATTGTTTATATGCAGCATTTATATATAAATTAATACAAGGGGCATTGATGCTAGTGCTCTTTTGGAAAAGGTTTACTTCCATATTTTCTGTAGAGACACCAGATCCCAAGGCTAATTTTATTTAGAATTTCATAATCGAACTTATACTGTAAACAAACCCTTACAGAGAATGTGTATAAATGCAAACAAATTTAATAGTAATGATTTTTTTCATTTATCACTAAGTAAAATTAAGAATAAGATCCAAAATACCTTTTTATGTAATCACTATGTGCTTTAATAGTTTAAGCTAAATTTAAGATGATTTGTAAAAAAGACAAGTCCATAAATAAACATTACATTACAATACAAATTTTAGCTAATTAAAGGTCCTGTCGAGAAATTAAGGCTAACCTGTCTTTATCTATTTCTTCTTCTTTAAGTTTGTGCCCAGATTTAGGTATTGGCAGCCTCCATGACAATTTACTGATATTGAGCATTTAACTGGATGGACTTTTGACTCTGGAGGGTTCCAAAGCTATGGTGAGAATAGATGGAGATAAGACGCAGGTCTTTGATATTGAAAATGGAGTTAGACAAGGTGATGCCTTATCAACAACACTTTTCAACAAAAGGGTATTGCGAAAAAGTTATAGAACTGAAACAAGAAGCTGCTATGTTTGGTCTATATATAAATGAAAGCAAAAACAGAATATATGGAGTGCACAAAATTGAATCAACATGAGAATCTGAAGGTAGACAACTGTACCTACAAATATGCCTCCACTTTTCCCTACCTAGGCTCAGTAATAAATGACAACAACAACATCAGTCAAGAAATACAATCACAGATTCTTAGCGGTAATAAGTGCTTTTATGCACACAAAGACTTAATCAAAAAATAAGTTACTGAATCGTGAGTCTAAGCTTAGAATCTACAAAACAGTAATTAGACTAGTGGTCACATAGGGATGTGAAACGTGGACTCTCTCAACCACTGATGAAAATCAACTGAGAATATTTGAGAGCAAAATACTAAGGAAGACATTTGGACCAACCCAATGTAGCGATGGTTTAACGAGTGGTGGAAAAAACGAGTTTTACGGCTATCTGTGAGTCAGAATTACTCCGTAGCTATTTCCAGAGTTGCCAAACCATTGAAAACGAAACGGAACAAATAAATAAAATTTATTTCATTACAATTTTTTGCTTAATTTTTACTATTGAAAAAATCATTTTTTTTTTGATATTTTTATGGAGGTAATAATCGCTGCGTGGAAGAATACAGGTTTTGTATGATCATAATTACTACTTGTGGACAAGAACTGGCTACACTGTATGACAACTCCTCGTCAAGTCTTCTATAGAGAAGCACAAATAAATATACTATTTATATATTCTATAATTTCTTATGAGAAAACGCAAATTGCAATTGAGACAACGGATAGTTTTCAAGGGCTGCTGTGTACATTTAAATTTGAGGATATGCAGTGTTTAAATGATGAATCACTCTTCCAAATAGTGGAATTATAGCATAAATTATTAGTAATTTACCTAAAAACCTCAGATATTTCCATTGATACCAAGTCAGATTCAAAGGGGAAAAGCTGACATTTGAATTCATCAATTAACATTACACTTCCGTATACGCCTTTATGTTTTAATCTCTCCATGCACAATAAGCTTTTCTTTGGTACAAAAAATAAATGGTATTGTTTCTTACTTCCACTTTTCGTTTTACTGTCAGCATGTACATTTTGGGCTAAAAAATATCAAATTTATAATACAAATATATTTTAAAATTAAAATCAAACCCATGGTGATCATTTGTACAAGTTGATGTAGGAATTAGAATTTTAAGGATTTACAGTTAAAAAAAAACACTATTGAGGAGTAAATTGGGTTAAAAACTTTTTTAGTTAGCAGCACACTTACAGGTTTAGTATTTTATCACAGAGCTTTGGGAAAAATTGATAATCTATTTAATTAATCTAATGGCGACCAGAAATTTATAAAAACAATAAGAGATATCTTTATAACATGTTTAATTAGGCTTATTATATTATAATATATCTTAGTCTAACCAAAAATCAGTTGCAAGTAATACAATATTGATCTCATGGTACAAAATAATCAATAATTTAAAAGATACAGATATAAGATGATGTCAAAAAGACATATTAAACTAGGACTTGATACAGATGGCTTAGATGAACAAGTTTATGTAGAATGAAAGAAAAAAATGTACAGTGAATTTCTATAAAGAAACATAGAGTTCAAGAAATTTTTGCTGCCAAACTCTTAAATGTTTCTACAAATCAACCCATCACTCCAACAATGTATAAATGTATCTTATTGCAATAACATATTCATTTGTAATGTCAGCAAAATTATGAATCGGGTTGTTATTTCCAGCCATTTGCCTATATTATCCATATGTAACTACTAAACTGATTATTTACCAATGTAGTCCATTAAGTACAATTTGGGCCTTGAGATGAAGATAATATGATCGACATCAGTTTCAGGTAAAGGCATATTTCGAAGTGGGAACATCTTAGGTGCCTGGTGCTCCTTGAGGATGGCATATTTGGCTACAAGTCCAACTGGTCCAGCTAAGCTGTTATCCCAAACAATAACTTTCTTACCAGGACATTGTTCTAAAAGGTTTATAAGGTTTGCCCTAGCCGCTGCTTGAATTAAGGATATATCTACTTTTCCACTTTGCATGTGAGCCATATTTTACATCAGTTGAATCAAAAGAGGCGGATGTATTTAAGATTATAGCAATTATAGATCAGAGAATGTTTATGTTTTAAATTGTCACTGTCAGTGACAATTTGTAAAATGACAGATTGGACAACAAACTCTAACCTCTAATCATAATAATTGGTCTTGAATAAATCGGGTTTCATACACATAATGAGTATTGGTGGAATAAGAGTTGTCTACTCTTACGGCCTTATTTGTTTGATTCATTTTACTTACCAGTGGTATATCATTTTAAAGAAATAAAATATTTATTATTGTTTCGATTTTCAGAATCTTATTCATATAATAGGTTGTTAAACCATCAATGTTTTACGTATATCTATAAAATATTATAATAAATATAATTAATTGCTTTATTATAGAACCCACAACAAAATAATGTTAAGGTTCACATTTATAAATTATAAATACTTACCCTAATGCAGAGCATTTGGTTAAAACAGGGTGTCAGTCAGAGGAGATACTGCAAGTAACAGACAAAAGAAGATTATTGTACAAAATTAAAATGTGAATGAATACAAGACCGAACACAAAGAAATCTGAACCATCCATTAAAAAGAAATGATACAACCATAAATGATCATAAATATAAGTCCTTTGATCTTTGTTTTCTTTTAGTCCAGAATAGGCCTCCCCTTCCCTTGAGTCTAATGAATCTGTTTAAAATGCAAGATTTCAATAATTGAAGATGTTATTTTGGTAGTACTCTTTTTAGTTTGTAAATGAGGCCCTAATCCATACTGTATGTACTCTTTCTAATAAATTGGTTATTCTATGTACTTATTTGATCCAAGGTCGAATGACTTTCCCTGAAACTAAAATGATGAGGTGGTGATAGTTTCCTTTATGTTGTCATAAATCAATTTGCTAAAATAAGGTCCAATTGATTTATTTGCATTTTTTGGTTATCTCTTCAGAATTTTTGCTTTACATTGTTTAGTTCTGTTTTACGAGGTGAATATCTGCTTTGTTGCCACTTTCGTCTTAGCTTCCTCTATTTTCTGAGATTATATCTCTTATTTCGTGTGGTAAATATAAGGTATTTTTGTTTTATTGACCTGAAGAAGGCTTTTGACTGTTCAAAAATGGTGAATTTCTGAAACGTTTTACTTTTTCTAATAAATATTCAGGATCCACATAATATGATTGAAGAAAAACGCTTAAACCTTCATTTAATAACTAAAAATATACACAAGTTTTATAAGAACAAAAACATTTCTCAAATAGTATAACCCTAATACATAAAATATATACGTTATTATAATATAAACATAAAATACATATTTTAATGAAAACTGCGAAAGCAGTCCTGCAAATCTTAAAAGTTAGAAGGGCTTGTATTATCATCATCATCCATAGTTTGTATTGGCGGTGGAGATTGCAATTGGATATAAACAGGTGATTGCATCGGGGAATTGGTTGTTGATGTATTAGAGTATTGGTTACTATATACAGGCGATACTATTGGAAGAGCTGTTGTACTACTTAATTGCTGCTGGTTATATTCATTATAGGTTTGTTCTTGAAGAGACTTTAGCTCATATTTCTGTACAACCGAAAATATTGCTGATTTCGCAAAATGAAAATTTAGAGCCGAAAGTGACTTTAGGGATGGTGCTATTCCAGTTAGAAAGGCGTCAACTGCATCTGGGGATGCCGTAAGTTGCTCCCCACGTTTGTTAATTAAATACTCATCCATATGTTTTGCTGAAGCAGAAGGCTGAGAATAGGTAACTTTTCTTTTACTCCTGCTGTTTTTTGATGTAGTAGTGTGTCTTTGTAATGGTAGTTTTTCAGTCTCTTGAATTGAAGCAGACGAATCTTCTCTTTGACTCTTGGTTGCTTCTATTATTTCATTTCCTTCGAAGTTTCTCTCTTGGCTTGAGGCAGAACCATTGTGTTCCTTCTCATCGCCAGAATTACTTTTTTCATCTTCAGGCACTATTTTTTCAGACTCTTGTTGGGTATTATCAATATCATTAATGTTAGTTAGTTCTTTTTCATTAAAATGTTTTTTCAAGAAACTTAGTTGATCAGCGTATTTGTACCTCTTTATTATTTTGCCACTCTGTCTACGTTTTGTGATGTTTCTTTTTAAATACTTTCTAAATGTGTCTCTAATATTTGCCCATCTAGTCTTACACAGTTGACCTAGAAAAATATAATTTGTTTAAAGACAGATAACATAAAAAAGTTTTACATAAAAAATAGTACTACAGTTCTTTGCTTTTTAGGTATTTGGCAACTGGGGACTCTTTCTTGACGATCTCTTTTAATTAGTTCCCTCTTAGGACATAGTACAGTGGAATATATTATACATAAAACATGTAAAGTTATATGAAACAGTTTAATAGCCGAAACACTACCAGAAGAGATGTGGAGAGCCATTGCTGAAGATTTCTACACAAACTGGAACTTTCCCAACTGTGTGGGAGCCTTGGATGACAAACACATTACAATTCAAGCACCTTCAAACACAGGATCGCTTTATTATAATTACAAGAAATCATTTTCAATTGTTTTGTTAGCTTTTGTAGACGCCAATTATAATTTTTTGGTTGTTGACGTCGGAGAATATGGCAAGAACAGCGATGGCGGAATTTTCGCAAATTCTTCATTGGACAAAAGACTTCGACAAGGAACATTACAACTACCACAAAATACAACTCTACCGAATACACAAGTTGAAGGCCCATGTGTAATAGTAGGAGACGAAGCATTCCCTTTAAAAACATATTTATTGCGACCTTATCCACGTCAGGACTTAAATATAGCAGAACGTATTTACCAAGGACACTAAACATAAATAGGATTGATTTTGTCCTATGCTCTAATGTAAGAAATGCGCTGTGTTGAATGTGACGTAGGCGTGGGGATTCGTGATTGACATTCCTTATTGTTTTATATAGAATTGTTGTGCCTGCTGCCAATTTTTTGGCCAAGACTATTTAATTATTGTTTCTATATCAATTTACTTGTATAAACAAAATTGGTGGCAATATATGTGTCATATATGGTTGTGACAATAATTTTAAGAGTGTAAAAACTAAGAATATGCCTGTTATTTTTCAGTTTTCCAAAAGGATTTAGTGTCGAAAACTGTAAGAGCTGAATGGATTAACCGATGCAGAAGAGCTGATAATTTTAATCCTGATTCTAGTAGAATATGCTCTGTTCATTTTACAAACAGTGACTATGAGAGAGATCTTCAAATTAATTTATTAGGTAAAATGATTAAGCAATAAAATGCCTATAAATTTTTTTTTAACGTAACTTATTTTAGGTTTACCTACTAAACGCCTTTTGAAGAAAACTGCAGTTCCAACACTTTGTTTATATAAACATACCTTTTACATACCTTCTGTCTCTACTCGTGAATGTAGATTAGATGTTAGAAACAGAAAGCAACTTGTAGCAGAAATTACAAAGGTTGATTCATCTTTGAATATTGCATCTAATCAACATGAACATACTATTACTGAATCTGAAATAATTTTTGAACAAGCTGGTGACAACATAGATTTAAACCCTGAAGTAGATTTTGAAAGAAAATACAAAGAATTATTAAACAAGTATGAAAAATTAATAGCTGACCATTTCAATTTGAAGAAAAAGAGTCAAATGAAAATAAAAAGTTTAACAAGTCAGTTGAGGTATTTTAAAGCAAACAATATGAATGTTCAGAAAAAATAAAAAAAAATCTGAAATTTTTGCTGAAAATTTGTTAAATAAAGTGTTAACCACAAACCAAATTGCACTTCTTTCTGAAAAAAAGAAGAAAGTTCGTCGGAATACAGCAGAAATATCTAGAGCTTTTACTTTGAGGTATTACAGTAAGAAAAGTTACCTCTATTTAAAAAATTATTTGCGTTATCCTCTACCTGCTCTATCATCTTTAAGAAAATGGGCTTCCAAGATTAGTCTTAGTGAAGGCTTTTGTAAGACATATTGTTAATGATGAAATTGGCTGGGGAACATTTTACGACTATGGAAAAGACAGTTGTGCTGCAATTCGATGAAGTGAAAATAAAATCTATTGAAGAATATGACGTCACTAAAGATAGAATTTTGGGTCCACACAAGCAAATGCAGGTAGTTATGATTAGAGGTCTTTTTGCTTCTTGGAAACAACCAATTTATATCAATTTTGACCAAAAAATGACAGTTGGAGTATTAATAGAAATAATTAAGGACCTTTATAACATTTCATAAAACGTTGTTGCTTGTGTTAGTGATTGTGGTGCTTCAAATATTGGTTTGTGGAAAGAACTTGGAGTTAGTGTAGATAAAGCATTTTTCAAACATCCTGAGACTGATCAAAATGTATATATGTTTGCAGATGCTCCACATTTATTAAAACTCTTACGAAACTGGCTACTAGATGTTGGTTTTCAATTAGAGGATGGTACTGTTATTATCAAAAAGCCTTTAGAATCTTTAATTGCTTTTACTGACTATGAGGTTAATCAGTGTTGGAAAATTAATAAAAAACACATTGAATGTGAAAAATCTCAAAGACAGAATGTTCGAATCGCTGCTCAGCTTTTGTATAATACTGTTACAATAGGTCTTAGGAGACATAAACCTGAGAATGAGCAGTTAGCCAAAAATTTGGGTAATTTCATTGCTGATGTAAATTTATGGTTTGATATATTCAATAGTTATACACCACAACGAACAGTTCCTTCTAAAAGTGCTTATGGAATTCATTTGAACAGGCAAAATAACCATCTTAACAAAATGATAAGTTTAATATCTTCAATGAAAGCTCTTGGTAAAAATAATTTGCAAATTTTTCAAAAAGAATAGTGTTATCAATGAAATCTTAAAAAATGTTATTTGTTGATATAAAACAAGCTTTTGATATTAAATATAATATATATATATATATATATATATATATATATATATATATATATATATATATATATATATATATATATATATATTATATATAATATATATAT